TAAGCCCATCAACAATCGCTTACGAAAGTATATAAGCCCAGGGCTTATAGTCGGAGTTTTACGGTATGAAAGTTTTGTTGAAGTAGTAATAGGTTAGGTATGTTCTTTTATGACGCCCACCAAGGGTGTAACCTAGGTCGCTTATCACTAATTTTGTAGCTGCTTTGTCGCTTGTTTTATTGTAATAAATGTCGCTGTCACGTTTGACCCATAACACAAATTGCAATTTGTCGGTTTTTCCCAGTCCAGAAGCTGTCATTTGTTGCTCTTTTTTAGATGGTCTGTTGCCTCTTTTTAAGGAATGTCGCCTGTTGGTCATAACCCCTTGGTGGGCCTCTTTTAAAAGACACTTAATTAGAGTTGGAGATAAGATTAAAAACAAGTACTGAAACAATTAAGTGCCATTAATAAATTAAATTAGCAGTTGGTATAGCAATAATTTTTCAACTTATGTTCTCAACTCTCATAAAATCAGGATAAAATGGTTGATGAAAACTTTACAAAACAACGACGTCAGGATATTCTTCCTGTGCACTCTTTACCACTGATGCCGGGATTTTGATAACCAATGATGTCTGTGTTGCTTTTATCCAAGTACCACCGACAACCTCCTCATTTGGCACTGGGAAAATGAACAAAATAATTGTTAATGATGTAAATACTAACATAAGTTATAAGAGTACAACTTTATCAGGTTATATTGAATCAGCAATATACTTATGTTGAGCTTACAGTATAATCCAACAGCTTCAATAGTTCCCAATGATTGATTCTCACTGTATATTTCACCACATCCTTTCAACAACATAACCACAACATCGTCTAAACAATCAGTGTTGTTATCTTAAAGTGCCTATGCGACAATTTTTTTTATGATTGAATTGGAAAGTTCATTTAAAATCATAATATAACTTGTTTTCTAAAACTTTGTAATCTTTCCTGTATGTCAAGATTTTCGACTTTGTTTGATATACAAATGTGACTTAAATGACGTCACACTGCATAATGAGTTTTTAGAAAGAAAACGTTTCCTTGCCAAACATGTAATAATTCCACTGACATTGAAAGGGATATACTTTAAGAGCTATCAAAGCGATCATTTCGTCTGTAAATTTGAGATGAGAATTTTAACAAGCTACAACACAGTCTTCTGTAAAACGCATTATATGCAGTGTGACGTCATTTAAGTCACATTTGTATATCAAACAAAGTTGAAAATCTTGACATACAGGAAAGATTACAAAGTTTTAGAAAACAAGTTATATTATGATTTTAAACAAACTTTGCAATTCAATCATAAAAAAATTGCCGCATAGGCACTTTAACTCTGTCTCGTATACTGAAATTTGACAGTGCTAATGGACTTTTATAAAAGAAAAATAGCACATACATAACTCATTTGCAGCCAACATTTCCTTGCCCACATCTATTTCCATGGCACTAACAGACAGGAATAATGTATGAAAAAATCCAGTTCGAAAAGGAATTTGAAGGCCTCTCTAATAATTCAATTGAGATAAATAATATGCATCACTTAAGTAAAAGTACTTAAAAGAAAGTATAAAATGTTCAATTGTAACTGTACCTGCAGAAAGGCTTGCCACAGTCTCTAAAATGCAAGAATAATCTTTAATTAAGTTTACTGTTTTTGTAATACCTGCATACAACAAAATTTTAGTATTAAGGAGACTTGAAGATCTCTACTCATGCCCAACACCCAATTATAGCCAGCTACCCAGATCACATGACCAAACTGAAGTAATTAATGAACAATTAAAATATGGAATTTAGGAAAATGAAAAGAAAAGGGGTGAATGGATAAAAAGAATGGGAGAATGCTATAATAAGGATGGGTTGAATAAATGGGAGAATGAATGGCTATAGGCAATTAAAGAAACCATAGAGAAAAAGATAATGGGAATGAAAAAGGAAGGAATGATAAATATAATTAACTCAGCACTCAATCTCCATTTGACAACAATAAAAATCATCTGGCATTTATAGACAGAGCAAAATAATAGGGCACATCAGGATGCATTGCCACTTAAAGGCTGGATTAAATAGGAAGAACAAGAAATCAAGACAGGGATGACTAACAAATCATTAACACCAACTAACACTCACAATACTTATAACTTCCAGATCTAGCTGTCCAGCGTATTTCGAATATACTGTCTTGTCTTTGCGAACCATGACACTTTTCCATTGATGGGAGAGCAAATCATACAATTCACGTTCTTCTGCACACTATCAATAAATTCAGCACTAGTGATATTGACAATCACTTATAGATAACTATTAATACAATCAACTATTTTTTTATTGGCTTAATAATTACCTGAATGTCACTGTAAAAAAGATGGTCCAAATGGTCTTTATTTAATATTAAAACCAAGCAAGGACTTTCTGCCCTAAAATATAAACACCATATCACAGAATAAGAGCCTTATAGAAGGTTAATTGACTTCTTGGTTTTGCCTATGATTTTGGCATAACCATTGCAATGCTGTTGCTAGTATAGTCCTTAGAGCTTTCAAATCATGGTATGGCAGCAGTTACGCTTTTTGGTCTCTATTCTGTGATCAATGTACCATATGCATGACAACTGTACGTACGTTCATTAAATTGACCAATGCATGCATCAACACTAATCTCTGCATGAGCTGGCTTTCCTGAAGAGCAGCAATCAATGGTTTAATAATTACCGTATGTCAAAGTTTCTCCTCAACTGATTAAAGAATTGTTCCTCTCCCATACAGAAACTTGTATTGCTTGCAGACACAGTCACAAGTTCTTTCTTATCTGACGTAAGGATTTTAGCAGTCCCATGTACGAGGATAAATATTTCACGTGCATGGTCACCTTGACGCCAGATGTAACTACCAGCAGGAAACAGCAGGATGATCTCTGGAAAGAAAAATTGCTGGTCATTGTGGCAGAGGTGACAATACAGGAATATCGGAAGAAGTGAAATATCAGTATATATCAGTAGTAATATAGCTTTCAATAGTAATATAGCTTTCAATAGTAGTATATTAGTCATTTTAACCTGGCAATGTCTGTTCCACAAGAAAATGTAGACAATCAGAGCTCCAGTTGTGAAACATTGGTGTCTATATAAATACATGTACAATAAAAAGTTGTATTTGTAATACCTGTATATAGATAAAAAAACACATCATTGACATATACGTTCATAAGCTAGCCCAGCTAGTTTCTATTCAGTTGCAACTGTTAGCATCAATCGGGCCGGCCATTCTATTACATGTGTCATTTTGATGTTCACAATTGTTACAACTAAATGGAAACCAAGCTTTGTTTACTTCAAACCTCTTGAAGGCTTTGATATGCAACTTCTTTTGATACAGCATGTTCTTGGAAAACTTTAGCTGTGTCCACATATTTCCTTGAAAATTCAAGATTCAAACTGGATTACGGACCTGAAGCGTCGACAAGAAAAATCCTCTTGTATTCACTATTCATTGTACAAATTATACTCACCTTTTAATAAACCATTCAAACAAACCAATTTTAGGTTTTTCTGTCAACACATTCAAAATATTTTGCGACTTGATAAACAGAAACTCTGCTCTATATAACAAGGAAATGTATGTACATATGCATATATAAGAGCAATATATGGTAAAAAATAAGGTCGGACTCTGGGATAAATTGGGTAATATTGTCATTATGCTTTGCACATATAATACATTTGGGTTAGGACAAGGAGCTGGGTGGAGTTGGGTTAGAGTTAGGTTGAGGCTCAGGTTGAAGACACAGAATAACAACTACAGAAGGTTGACTGACCTCTTGGTTTTGCCTATATGATTTTGGTATAACCATTGCAATGCTGTTGCCATGGTCCTTGCCAGTGTGCTTGTGAGAGGCATTCACCCTCCTGAAATTATTAAAAAAAGGCAGACATTCAGGGGGGTGAATGCTTCTCATAACTGCACTGGCAGAACCATGGCGACAGCATATTTTAGTTAAGAATCATTGCAAATAATGGTGACAGCTATTATATGCTTTTTTGCCCAAGTCGAACTTCTGTATGTCTCTATTCCGTGAGAAGGGGCTGGGTTGAGTTAGATTTGGGTTGAGGGCCAGGGGAGGGGGCAACAATATTGTGTATTGGATTTATAAGAAATATTTATCCAAAATACTCACCCCTCTTGACCTCTGATTGTGACAGGACAATTTGAACCAAAAAATGTTGAAACTTCGCCAAAAAAGTCACCCTTCTTAATAAGTCGTAAGGCAATGCCACCATTACTATTGACAGCTTCTACTTTTCCTGAAACGACCACGTACAATCCTGGCGACATATTACGTTTAACAACCACATGCTCTGTCGTCTCCAAGTTGATATATTCAATGACTTTGATTAAAGCTTGAATTTGGCTTTCATTTAGGTCAAATGGTAGTCTCTGAACAGCTTTTTTGAAGAGCACTATGTTGCTTCCTGGTATTTTGCTTTCGTTACGTTTACTTTTCCGTTTAAACATGTTTTACTATTATGTTTACTATAATACATTGTATACTGAATACAGAATAACCAAACATTGCTGTTCTTCATATCGTAAAAATTTACTATCAGTACTAGGTTTAGGCTGATGTTATTACAAAAATCGGCCAGCAGCTACATCTGTGGGCTCAATATCTACCGGTATACTTAATTAAAAACATCCTTTGAAAGCCGAACAGTGTAGTGCTGTGTTTCTTAGAAATACCTATTAAATTTCTTACTATAAAGCTTAGATTAACCTGTCAATCAAAAATACGAACAAGTGTTCAAAAGTAGTCAGTTAGTAGTCAGTTTACCCAATTCAGACTCTCCTATTTAATACATTTTTGACGGCGTATGCGAACTAAAAACCTTCAAAATTTGTACATCGATTTATTAAACCAGTGCGTGAGAGAAATCAATACTTTTGTTCAAGGCAATAGTTTCCCCTTCTTCTCCATATTCACCTTCTTCTTCTCCATATTCTTCATCATCATCATCATCTTCATCATCTTGTTCCGTCAACGCTACGCCTGGAACTTGAGGAATAAGAATCTGTGGAGCTGCCTCAACAAAATCATCTGGCACCTGAGAAAGACGTAAATATGAAAATCGGATATAATAAACACGCATTGGTCCAGTACAGACACAAACCACGACTGTTGAACGTACGTTTTATACTATTTCAATACTCTCACCTCCCAATATGGTGCGTCCAAATAAAAATCTTTTTCATCCAGAGGATCAAAAAATTTCAACCTAGCGATCAACCCTTGAAGAAACGTAGATCATTTATATAGTATAAGTAAAGTTAGTTTAAGTTTAGATTTAAATACATGGTGGTAAGTCTGTAATCTCTAATACGAACCAGTAAAAAGTCCGCCAGCAATAGATATCGCCAAAGTGATCATCAAAGCTGCTACCTGAATACCACATTGAATATTTGCTGATCTTCCCTGACCGGCACTGATATCTGTTGAATGCTGTCTTAGTTCTAGATAATCTGTTGAGTTCATAGCTGGTGCTCGTGCAGGATAAATTTTGTATAAACTAAGGAAAGAGGATTGAGAATAAGAATGGCAATTTTTGGAATGATATTTGACATAAAAGTGGTCAAAAACTTACTGAAACTCACTTACAGGTACTCTATTATGAACCTTCAATGCTTTACAATCAAGGATTAGTAATATGTACAAAGATAATACCTGTTCTTATACTGAGGATAATCAGCGATAGCAGCAATAACCACGCTACATATTGCGGACAGTATGCCAGGTATACCATGAAGACTTGTAACACCACATGTATCATGCATACTGAACTGTTTGATCAACCAGGGCTGGGGAAAGATAGCACAATAGATGAACAAAAGAACATAACATAAAATATTCTAACTAATCCCACTTATTGTCAGCTGCAGTGACATCATAATAGTAATCTAAGGTCGTCAAATTAAATCGAATCATTTTGGTGAAATATTAAGTTATGATTTCCAACCAGATTGTCCCAATGAATCGAAACATAAGGTTTTCATGAACCAGTGCTCTGACCCATGATCTCATGGAATGCTAAACTATCACATGTACATACTGAACAAGGTTTCTGTTCCCGGTTCAGGCTTTCAGAAACAGGGACACAACTATTGTAGAATCTGGCATGTAATTAACAAAAACAGTTTCCAAGAAGTGACTAAAATCAGTCCATATAATTCTCTCTTGACATTCACTCACCTGGAAATATTCGTAGCCTGCAGTACAGGACGCTCCAGCTATCAGACCTATTAACACTGCACCCCAAGGATGAATTATCATATGAGATATAGCACCAACAGCCACTCCACCTGCCAACGTTGCATTTTGAATATGGACCTACAGTGAAAACACTTGCATTAAGAAAGAAAGAAAGAAAGAAACTCTCCTGCTCTACGTCCACCCTTCACCCACGGAAGAAAAGATGTAACACTAGGAAACGAACATGAAAAGGCATAACAAAGACATACCATACTAAATTTGGATTCTCGCGTTAAAACTGTTGAGCAAGCGAATGCAGTAACACAGCTTGCTGCTAGGGCAAAATATGTATTGATGATTGCTCTATGCTTTATGTGACCAAGTAGTAGCGAAGAATTGAAACCAGGCCAGTAGACCCATAAGAATAGCGTTCCTGTAGAAATAAATAACATTAGATGAACTCATCCAGTTCTTTCGTGAACGGCACAATAAAATAATGTAACTTAAATATTCTAACTATTCCCACTTATTGTCGACTGCAGTGCAAGAATAGTCATTTCACGTGGTCAAATTAAATCCAATCATTTTGGTGAAATAGTAAGTTATGATGAATGTTCGAATTCCAGTACTTTCGTGAACGGGCACAACTGTCATATGTGAAAAATCACTGTTTCACCCAGGTTTGATTCCTGTAATTTGTTTCACATGGAATTCTCGAACGTAAATCTGGTTTAGAACGAGTTTAGTTTAGTTTAATTACAAAAGAGAAAAATATTAGGGCTAACACCATAAACATTATGGTACATTTTCCACTTACCCAACATGGAAAAGAGATCCGAATGGTATTGCGATATCTCTTCTTCGTGAGCAACAGAACGTGGATTAAAGATCATCTTCGCCACACCCAATCCAAATACTGCACCAAATACATGGATATAGATCGCTCCCCCCGGATCTACTGCTTCTAATATATGCTCGCATACACCTCTGTTTATTGAGTACAGAAACACTTCTATGACAGTGATCAGGAACAGCTGTATAGGACTAGCCTTGCCCAGGATTACACCAAGAGTGATCAGAACTGCGTTGGTAGCGAACTCCGCTTTGATTACACTATAACGAAAATAGAGTATTTTGTACATATTGGACAACGACAAGAAATTTACTATTTTCAAGAATGTTTGAAGAAACCATGTTTATGGTCAATGGTAGAACGAGTTTGTTGGTTGAGTCAAATCCAAACCCGAGTCAAATGTCCAGAGTCACTGTTTAGCGGTCTTTGTAGTTCAATGACTTAGTACCCTAACCCTACTCCTAACCCTATTCGATTGTGAATTTTATTCATGCAGTTTCGTCTTTTTTTACGTGACTCGGGATTGACTCGAATTTGACTTGGTAAATGGTTTACTCATGATAGAACTGAGAGAGCTATTCAGGATAAATAAAATTAGTCCAGAAAAGTTTAGTTGAACGGATTGATAGGGATACGACTTGAAAAGTTCTCCTTGTATTTTTCAGGTAGTTGTAATCCCTATCAATCCAACCTTTTTCTTTAGTTTAGTTGGTGACACCAAAAAAAATTGATATTATTATATTATAGACACAGGGAATGTCTTTATGTCTACCTGTCTCCAGTGAGTTGTATCTTGGAATCTTTGAGATCAAAAAATCCCTCCATGACCACCGACCATTGAATTGCCACGGTCCCAACAATAAAGTTATACCCTAAACCACTAAAACCATATCTCTTCAGAAATATCATCAGAAAACCATAACCAACGAACACCATTACATGAACGTCATCAAATGCTAAACATAAAACGACATTTGCCGTTAAATCCTTTTAGCTAACGCTAGTCAGAACAGGGATATAATTGCTAGCTAAAACTCTATGTGTACTAAAACTCTATGTGTCCTTGGGAGAAAGAGGTTGGGGGAATCTGAGGTAGGGTGTACGCCAGGCATGCTTATTGTGTGTGTGTGGGGGGGAGTCAAAAAATCAAACCCAAAGTTCTGCGGTCAGAACTTTAGTTTTGACCCCGTCCCTGGTTAGGTATAAAAACTGCATATATATCGTCTCTTAAATTATCCATCTATTTCAATAGTCAGTTTTAACACAAGTGAAGTGCAAAAGCCGGATCAAGACAATTAGAAATATCATATTTATACAGTCAATATACCGAATATATAAGGCAGGCTTTAGAGATATAATTGTGGGACGATGTAGCTATTACTGCTGACAAAGAAGTTTGGTTAATGCTAATTAGATAATATTATTATTCTTCATGTATATTTAGTAGTTGTAACTCTATAATTAGGTTGTTATTGTTTTTATATGAAATTGATATTTTGCCTGAATATTTTGGGTGAGGAGCAACCAAATTAATGTTTGTGTGAGGCTCTACTTGTTGAAGAAAAACAATCAAGAATATCTTATCGCATGAACAATTTACCAAAAATACTGTATAAATACTCCAGTTTAAATAGAGAACCCATCGGTGAAATGTGCATAAATCATACGAGACTATTTATAATAGGTGGTAAGATAAATAACAAGTTTACTTACCATTTAACCTAATTGGATCATTTTCATGATCATGATTTTTATCGGGTGGATCGACTGGCAAGAGTTCTTCACCATAATCAACAAACACGACATACATTGTAAGAATGAATATCTCAAACACAAACAGCATTGTTGTGATCTTGCTTTTACGTCGTAACGATGAACGCTGCATCTTGGTAACTCGAGATAGAAGTTTGTAACACTTGAAATACAATCTTGTAACACTTGTGTTACTAACAATGTAGTATTACCGCAGTTATATGTGGGTTAGGTAACAGATAAAGTGGCACATATCTGTACTGCTTATATTGATAAGCGACGGTGGTCTATTGCTTCAGTGCTCGCGGGATACAGCTTGGCAAGGCTGGGGGTGCAAACCCCAGCCGAGTTAGACTAAAGTTTAAGAGTTGATTCGTGCATGCAAAACTGAGGATTCAGAATATTGATATATGTCCACTTTTCCTAGCACCAGGCTGACACCCACACACACTGAACGCGATTTTGCAGAGTGAAGCCCCGGTCAAGCGAGGATGATGTAACTCTCGCTCGCGTCAGTTCACAGCTAAACGTCATTGACTTTGAACTGGTTCAATTTTAATGAGAGTTGATAAGAATTTTCGTTATCGCGCGGTAATATCCAGTCAACTCTCATGCAAACTCTCGCTTCTCAACTGCTCTCATTTTTGTTTGAGCAGGGCTTGAGAAAAAAACACTTTAGTTTAGTACCAATAGAGACCATGTATGAATCAGTTTGGGCTGACGTATACTATTGCAATGAGATTTCTGAGGAACTGACAGAGCTACGCAGTTAACTGCTATAACACGTACTGGGCCAAAATGGATGAACCTTACCGGACCTCAAGGATGCTAGGGTAGTTTAGTTTATTTGAGAGAACATTGCATCAAAATGCAGATGATTTGCTTTACAAAACAGAAAAATCGTGTCAACCCAACGGCACCTATCAATCATCCGAACGCTCTTTTAAATGTCTTTTCGTTTAATTTTATACAACAAAAAGCCCATACTGTCTTGGTGATTCAAATGCAAATTGTGTTTGTTCAATATAAACTAAATTAGACCGCTCTCCCAGTTGGTAACTCCGACCTCAAACTGAAAATTTGGCATAAACAATTCAAGCAACGATGCATACGATTTCCTGCTGTTTTGCGGTTTATATATTGGTTTGACTTTGTCCTAAAGGCGGCCGGCTAAAATGCACCGTCTGTGTTCGTAGGGAAAAAAGTGTGAATTTTCGATAATTCTGGGGTGGGAATAAAATCTGATATTTTCGACAGGTGGGGGACTATCTTCACGCATTATGGTACTGTGTTCTTGTTTGAGCTTTATACATTTCTATTTGCATATTTAACTTTATTTGTAATTTCTATATTGACAATACTAAATTTGCTCTAATTTTGATAATTTATCACTATTTTATACATACAATCTATCATATAGATACTAAAATATGCGAGATTCTGTTGGATGGAGTCTCATCACTATTGTTTGTCTGTGATTTCCTTTTCTACTTATTTCTTCATTTCATTCCTTCTAACTCAATCCGTGTCAGAATGAACTGAGCGGAAAACTTTTCGGAATAAAAATTATCTTTCAACTGGTGCTGTTAAACTGCTCTCATCTGAGGACATTCTTGTGCTGAAACAAATAAAACATTAATATTATTAATATTGGAACGAACGAGGTTGCTTAAAAACGAATGCATCTCTATAATTAGTTAAGAATGGAGTGAAGACTACCAAAACTAAATCACACAAATCTGAGGTTAGTTACCTTTACAGATTCCTCTCGATTCAGCATTCTTCTCTTTCAGCATTTTTTCTCTCTTGAGTGCATCATTCAACTCATTCCTAACCTTGAGACACTCTTTTTCCTTATGACGTAATCTCTCCTCCAGTCCCCCGCATTTCGCCTTGACCTCGGTCAACTCTTGGGTAACCATCTTACAACTTGCTTTGGAAGTGTCTAATTCTTTCTTCAAAGCATAACACTGCTGTTGAAGACTGTCCACCATACCACCTTGGATTCTTATATTTTTCCGAAAGTTTTCCAATTGGTTTCTTAGAACCTGGTATTTATTCTGGGAAATTTCACCTTCCATTTTAAGAGTCTCGTAGTCTTTACGCGTTATCTCGAGCTGATCAGAGATCGCCACGCATCGCTTGCGAGCATTGATCAGTTTAATCCTCTGAGTACAAAACTTGATTTTCGAAGCATTTAGCTCTTGTTGTAAAACTTGCCGATATTGTTGGGAATCAGAGTTCTCTTGAGAGTTATTCTTCGCTTCTTCAAGGCGTTCTTTTGTTGTATTACAAGTCTCTTTTGCTTTTTCAACTTCAGTTTCCAAGCGGTCACATAGATCAACATGGAAGTGCAAATCTTTCTCCAAACTTTGACACTTGTCACGGCATTTTTCAAGCTCACTTTTCAAGTTATCGCACTGGTTTTGAACTACATCCGATTGCTTTTCCAACAGTCCTAACTGTTCTTGAGATCTCGACTTGGATTTCGTGCTAGACCGTGTAGATTCTAGCAGAGTGTAGGTGTTTTGCCTTGTTAGACAAAATTCTTTATAAAGTACTCGCCATTTGCGAACCACACTCAAGGCAAGAGAGGCTTTCTCCAGTAGGTCAGGAATCAGTCTTATCACCGAGTCAAAATCATAGATCCTTCCTCTTAAGGTGAAAGTGTGCAGGTGTTTGGAACTTGATTCTGAGAACAGCGATTGATCAATTACACCAGAGCCAAGCAGACTCTTCCACTGGGAGAGCAGAGTTTTGAGACTTTCCAGGATATTATCAAGTTTGACCTTCTGCGATGTTGGCCAGAAGAATTCGCACATTGGTTCCAGGATATCGTTGGTGAAGGTTTCATGGAGTTGATCGAATTTCTGGCATAATTCTTGGAATCTCACAAGGATATTTTGTTCCGGAGTTATATTTCTTGTTTTGATCACGGGATTGATCAGCAAGGTTGTACTCTGTTCCCAAGCTAACAGTTCAGCAACAGATCTGGAGAAGAAACATTGCATTATTACATGATTGAATAAGAATAACATGATTTGCTGGGGAGACTACTTGTAGGGTTTTCACTATGCTTGAGAGGTAAAACCAAACGAAAGATTATCATATAAATGGAGAGTCAGCTTACTAAGAAAGCCATTAGAAAATTCGCATATAGTTTCCATTACTTACTGTCGAGAAGTGACATTCCCAAAAGACTTATGATTCCATGATGTCCAACGTTTCGAGACCTGACGAAGTTTCCGATACATCTCCTCTGTAAAACTTTGCCTCTCTCTATCTGTCATCAAATTTTCAATCTCTTTTCCAAACTCTGAACATTGCTCACACATCCACATTTCTCTTGCTGGCTGAGACATCGCTCTTAGATCTTCGTACTATACACAAAGAAATGGAAGATCAATCATTGACATTTACTGCAAATTTTGAGGAACATGCATTATATGCGGTGTCTGAAATATGACATGCACACTCCTTTTGATTGTTCAGTAAAGGTCCATTCGAACCAGTGGAGGTCTAACATTATCCTCCGTTGTTTGGATGGAACATTGTTTGTGTCTGTTTGAATAGTATGTCTGCTATTGATGGCTGATGTTGGATTAAGACTGGTTTACACTATCAAACTTTCTGTGATCACAGCGGAATTTTGCATCGGTAAATTATAAGTTTTGAAGACTTTGAAGGATAAAACAATTGTGTATATTGTAATTGTAGAAGCAGTAATATACATTCATTAATGATTTACATTTATACGAGGAGTTAAACAAAAGAGCAAGCTCCAATCAAGATTTAACTCCGATGCCATATTACATAAATGAAGTGCAACTATCCTAACTGGTACTCCAATAATTATTGCCACGTACTTAAGCTGGTACAAATCACTTAAGTGCAAGGCTCACAGGTTGCCAGGCTTGAATTCAACTATTCAAGCTATTATTTTGTGTCCACTCAAACAAATTCAGTTTCTATTCAGCCAATTAATATTATAACACATTTATTCAAAACAGACAAAAGAACTACTTTTATAACGTAAGAATTAACACAAGTGCTTGTAAAGCGACTTTCGCATAATTATTTGTCACTGAATTCAAAATATTTTTGTATATGTTTTTGGCTCCCAGTGCACAGAAGCCCTGGGGACCAGGTTGGATTCTAACCAGTGTAACTAGGTACGGTTGGTGTTATTTTGTTGGGCACAGACTTTTAGCCAAGATTCTAAAAGAGGGTTCAATTTCGGTGACGAAACACTTCTAGGGAGTACAAGACAATGTCCCTCTGCAGGAATTGACCTTTCAATTATGGGTCTCATAAACAGGGTTGGATTCAGTTTCCTCAAACATTTCTTCGTTCAAAACTTTTACCCATGGAAAATTCCTACTGTGATCACAGAAACATTGGTAGCGGAAAGTCTTTAGGTTTGGACCAACAACGTTGGAATCGTGTTGGAGTGCGTTAAACGGCAGAGTTAGATCAACCTTCTGATATATATATTGCATAGTTAGAAGTGGTACATTGTAAAAAACTTCATGCATGTTAGTAGAGTTTAACCTGCCAAGGTCTCATATACCTTGCCCTTGGTAGGTTTAACTGAAGAATGAGGAAATATATAGCAATATTAACGATATAGTCGTACTTACAAAATAATTCTTCATGCTTTTAATTAGTGAATGATACGAAAGATAACGCTGAAAGGTAAAATAGAAAATAGCTGAGTCTATATCTTGACACAAACATACACATATAAATCTTAACATTAGTATAGGACTTTACACATGTAGAGATGTACATGATCTTGATATATTTGAATGATGATATGAATTCTATACTTATATATACACATGCATGATACTCAATGATACAAACACATATGATTTATCAAATCTTAAAAGTCCAAAGATTACCTACCAGTGTGAGAAATCAAAAACCGTTATATCTTCTGTGTATAAATATCCTCTCAATCTATACGTCTTAGTAATATAACTCTTCAAATCCAAAGGATCGCCTTAACAATCGTCGTATTATAAAGCTTATAGTAATCTACCGTGCAACAAAGATTCTCTATATGCAAAGTCGGTTGCAGATATCCGCTTTATATATACCGTTAATCGGGAAAAACGTGTATAATATCTGAATAGCTTTCCCACACGTCCCCACCCGCTATGAAATTCAATTGTGATAGCGGAAAGTGAGATTGAATACACAACATGCGAAGTTATCATTAAGCCACGAATGTGTCATGCAAACTTCACTTATCACGACATCTATATAGCGGGAAAGGAATGCGAAAATGGAAATGATAAAGTTTTATAGTGGAAGGCTAAGACAGTAAGGTTATAAAACTAGCTTTTTTTTTCAAAATCATGAACCGAAAGTGAAAGCTACTCTATATATTGAACTACACGTATACAAATGTCATGCAATTTCTGGCTTGGCGGCAAGTACAGTATATTAGAAGAGAAAAAAGTGGGGTTATTTAAAAGTTTGCAAAATATTTTGAATATATCATGTGAACATCCACATTAACGGCACGCACAGAAACTAACTGAACTTTAACCACTCTGACATATATTTATATTAACTTTTCAAGACAACAATTAAAAGAGCAAAGTGACATGTAGATACATTGTCATTGAAGATCGTGCGAAAAGTCAAAAGAACGAAGATTCACCTTTGCTATAGTAGTAGTCTACGAGGTAGTCTATACTATGAAATGACATGTCCTAAACCTAATGCATGCATCACGCACTATATTTATATATACAAGGGAAAATTCAAAACACACACAGTGTTTTCTGAAGGGATTTGTGTGTTTCAAAGTCGCCAGATTTTGAATAAATAACATTAAAGACAATAAGCATGATGCGGTTCGCTGGTTTGCATTGAAAATATCAGAGATTAGCGTTTTATGACGCATGCAACAAGTGTTGCCTTACTCGACCTAATATTACAACAACAAACGTGAAAAGTAAAGAGAAAAATGCTTTAGTTTCCACCAGAAATAAAAATGCCTAGTTATTTTTATGTATCTACATCTAATGAAGTTTAATATGTCTGTTTAGTATAACGTTTTGTCGTTATTTACCTGGCTTTTATTGCGTGCTGTAGAGTACTGGACGCCCACGACAAAGAAAGATGAAAAGCCATTCATTCATTTTAAAATTTATTCCGAAAAACATCATACAACCCACCACGCTGCGCCATATAGATAACGTTTAGTTATTGGTTTCAGTGTTTTTCAAGTATTATAGTCATAGTAAGCAAATCTTCATTTTGAAAGTTTTACTATAAAACCTTAGCGTATCTGCTCAATATAAGGATATACAAAAAGTGAATCTTTTGAACAATGAATGAAAATTTAAATATTAAAATTAGTTCTGGGAATGAATGAAAAAAAAAACCTACACGTGGTCAAAGTACAATTATAAATTGCTGAAAATTGTTTATTCTTTTGTCTAGACTTTTTGGCAACAATGCAAAATAATATAGGCCGATAGTGATAGCTGTACAGTAGTTTAAATTCTGAAAGCAACAAATATATTGCAGTACTGCCTGATGGTTCATTATGGCCTTGAGCTTTCTTTTCACAGGTCTCGGATTCAGGATTTAACTGTTTAATTGTTAATCAGTTGTCATTGTTTGTTTGATATTTATTATTGGGCCCGCAGTAATTGGCGAAATGCTGTTGTCGGGACCCTGCCTGAATTTGTAATTTATGTAAAGGCAAAGTTATTAAATTAAATTATTTACAAATTCACGTGTTTTTTCATTGGATGAAATGACTGAAATCATGAAAGTGCACGCAGCGAGCTCGCGCATTTAAAAAACGAAGTGACTATATGACCGGCAGCCGGTGTCACAGGAAATTTGGCCCCCCCGAAAATTTGGCCCCCCCGGGCCAAATTTCCTAGGAAATATGGCCCCCTCTTCGGAAATTTGGCCCCCCCTTAAAAAATATAGTTTGTTTCAGATCTTTAGGCTCGGAAATCGTGAGGCCTCTACTAAAACAAATTTCTAGAAATTTTTCTCAACATTTATAGTCAGTTTGCGTAATTTTTTGTGTCAAAATTCTCTATTGAATTGCAATACTGACGAGAATCTAGGCCAAGAGCTAAAGTTTAGCGTACTTTTCGCGTTTGGTTTTGACCAGCTTCATAGAAGACAACGTTAATAAGGCATGTGAACAACATAATAACAACGTTAACATGTACCTAAAGCAATACTTTTTCTTGTAAACAAACGAAGAAAAACACTAAAATCGCAAGTATTTGTGTTGCTTGACTGAAATGTAGCATACGCTAATTATGGAACGGCTACAGTAATTTCATCTCGGCAAGGGGGACGAAATATTCCATATGAACGTACGGAAATATTCGTCTCGGTGGGCAAGACCTCTCGGTAAGTGGGACATATGAACAGCTCCTAAATAATGGCTGTATCATTAAGCTATTGAAACGGAACGTCATTTAAACTTTTGTGCTTTTGTGTGTGCGGAATATTTTTGTGAGCGATGAAGCATACAGAATGCTTCTGTAATGCATCCCAACCATACGAGCAATTATATATACTGTGTATATGAAAGAAAAAAACCCATAGGAAAATGTTTTTTTACGAAGTAACCACTCATTTGATTCTGTTTTTCGAACAAACGTTTTCACTTAAAAGTCTACTTTTACCGCTAATTACTCCCTGTTATTTATTAGACGCGTGCATATTAACATATTCGCCAACGCATGATGTCATCGTTTGCTAAAGTGCGGTTGTTATTCTGACTAATTTTATACTATGTGACTGAATTTATAGATCTAAATAACTCGTAATATCTTAGAAATTCTTATCTCTAAAATCGTTTTGTGTTCTTAGTTATAGTTAAGCCATCGTGCATTAACGTTGTCCTCTACAGATACCCATGTGTGATGCGTCTGGCATGACTGCACTAACACATATTATGCTTTCCTTCAAACTTTTAGCTCTTGGCCGCAATGAAGAATTTCGACACAAATAAATTATGCAAACTAACTATAAATACTGACAAACATTTTTAGGATCTTTGTTTAAGAAGAAACTTCACGATTTCCGAGCTTATAGCGACAAAGTAAACTATGTTTTCGAGGGGGCCAAATTTCCGAAGGGGAGGCCATATTTCCTAGGAAATATGGCCCCCAGGGGGGCCAAATTTCCTAGGAAATTTGGCCCGGGGGGGGCCAAATTTTGGGGGGGCCAAATTTCCTGGGACACCGGTCACGGTTTATCAAATACTAAATGGCCGGCAGTCTAGTGACTATAGTTGAATATAAAAACTTTTGTTTGCGTTAACTTTTACTGAGCTTGCCGTTAGCTCATACGGCAAGGGCGCTGCGTGCGGAAAGTTAAGCGCAGTCGGGGTCGCGATGTTGTTTTGTCTGACTTAGCATTGTTTTTTCTTAAAATTTTTTAAACTTTTTTTCCCGACTTTTCTATTAAACTCTCAAAAGGTTAGGGTTAGGGGTTAGGGTTAGAAAAGGGTTTGGGGTTGGGAATAGGTTTATCTTATAAAAATTAAACTTTAACAATAGTCACTAGACTGCCGGCCATTTAGTATTTTATAAACCGTGACCGGCTGCCGGTCATATAGTCACTTCGTTTAAAAAACGCACGCGCGCGATCGTTTGACGCGATCTTGTCTTTGAATTTATTTAGCAACTCGTTCCCTCTGGCGTATGAAACTATTAGTTGAAAATAGTTTAACACAACTTCAAACGAACTATAGAGTCTCCCAGTGCAATTATCAATAGCGGGCTACCGGCTATAGTCGTTTACAGATACCGCGGATAGCTTTCTATACAACTTCAGAGCAAAACAACATTTCTCCGTTGCAATAATTCCTCTGAAAATAGCGTTCCTAAAAGATACGGATTTTCACGTCACTACGGAAAGCTACACGGTGTAAACGGCGTGACTTTTCATAACGAGTTTTAAAAATAGATATGAAACAAGTCGTTTTCCCTTTGAAACTGATTCCTGATTGAGTGCACTTAGGAAACATTGTCTGTTCTCACGTAGATCGGGTCGCACAAACAATACCTCCATTTTATAAAAATAGCCCTTTAAAAAAGAGTGACACAAATCTGTTTGTATTTTGATAATGGTATGATAACAGGAATGCCTGACCACGTTTATTGTGAATGAATACATACATGTCAAAAGAACTACTCAGATTGACTCAATGTCTTAATGTAGGATAAAATTCCAAAGAAACCTGGTAGCCTTTATAGACTTTATATACCAAAAGACTCTCGAATGGTTCCCAATTCCGACCATATTTCCGAGTAGTTCCGACAATTATCGATCGCCTTTTGGCGAATGTTATTGTTCAAACAAAAAACACCGCATGTATAAATGGCATCTGAAAACAACGAGGCAAACTCACTGGCAAAGTGCTCGGAAAACGACGAGGAGAAAGCAGAAGAATTAGAAAGAGAACATTTTAGGAAGGTTGTGAGCGCATTTCTGCATTATGAGAAATTTTCAAACTTACGAATTGACAAAGCGAAGAAGGATTTCCTCTCGCTTGATGCGAAGGATCGAGAAAGACTGCCGAAATTCCTTGAGAACTTAGAGAAACAAAGGCAGTGTGTTGCTCAGAATTTTGAATTTGTTAAGCAGATAATCGGGCACACTGGTAAGGATTGCAACCTTTTATATTGGCACTAGACAGTCTAAAAATTTAAACTATACAGAGCCACCTTAAGACATATGATATACATGAAATGTCCAACTCCAGTGAGCCACCTTAAGTCAGGTTTTTCACTGGTGTTAAATTGTCAGTCTCTAGAAAGCCACCCCCCTAAGTGAATCTGATAAGTGCTGTATTGTAGTCTAAACCACAGAGAGCCACCTTAAGTCATGTTATACACTGGTGAGCCACCTTAGGTTAGGTTTCATACTTGAAAACTCACAAGTGCCACCTTAAGTACAGCATTGTGTTTGTGTTTTAGGATATATATTTGAGAATGTTGACCACCATGCTGATATGAACACAGATGCCTCGGACCAAAAAATCACTGTCCTCTTCATGGAAAAAGTGCTTACCACCGTAAGACAATTTGTCCGAGACTGGAGTAACGAGGGGATGGAGGAACGAAAAATGTGCTACAAACCCATTGTAGATGAGATAACAAATTTATATCCAGCTGACAAATATAAGCCAAGTGATGTATCGATACTAGTCCCTGGTGCTGGGCTTGCCAGATTGATGGTTGATCTGGCAAGGTTTGGTTATACCATACAAGGAAATGAGTGGAGTCTATTCATGCTTATTGCTTCAAATTATATCCTTAATAAATGCAGTGGTACCTACCACACAACTATATATCCATTTGTACATCAATCTTGCAATAACATGTCCGCCGAAGATCAACTGAGGCCAGTTCAAATTCCAGACATAAATCCCACCACGTTACCAGCAAATATAGACTTTTCTATGAACGCAGGAAACTTTACAGAAATTTATGTTGAAGCAAACCAATGGGATTGTATTGCAACATGTTTTTTTATTGATACTGCTAATAACATTGTCTCGTATATTGAGACGATTTATAAAATTCTTAAGCCAGGAGGGTACTGGATCAACCTTGGCCCACTGTTGTACCATTTTGCAGATGTACCTAATGAGTCGTCTATCGAAATTAGTTATAAGGAGCTGAGAAATTTAATAATAAACGAGTTTAAGTTTGAATTACTTAAGGAAGAAAGGTTGAAGTCCACTTATATTGGAAACAAAAGGTCTATGTTAGAGACTATTTACAATTGTATTTTTTTTGTAGTTAGGAAACCATTATAATTGCTTCTTAATTAATCCAACGCTTTAGAATTGTCGTAACTAGTTATTGAATAAATTGTGCAAAGAAAGTTGTGTATTTATTGTATGTTTTGAATGTTATTAATGATAAAGATGTCTGCATTTATTAACAAAATGATATGGAATAAAAATATGGAATATGGAGTAAATGTAATGAAATATACAGTAACTCAAAGTGACACTATTGATATATTTAGTACATAAATTAAAGAGAGAAAAATGACAACATACTAAAAAGAATTTAGTAAGGACTAAACACACTGTTTTATAAAATGCATAGTTGTAAAAGTCAATATGTATATATGTATAAATTACTGTAAATTATTTCAACTACAATGCTGATATGAAAAAAATAAATTATGTATAAATACTGAATTGGTAAAATAAGTTATATAATATAAAAATCTTGATTAAATATGGATTATAATCTTTTTTTCTAAATCAAATTATTGTTATAAAAATATGTCATGATATTTGAACCAATATATACCGAGTAATTGCAAATGTGGACTGCATACTATATATTAAGTTTCTTAGTAAAAAAAGTCATAGTATGTACAATAGATCTTCCTAGTGATTAGATCCACGACGTTTTGTTAAATTTGGCACAGTAAGTTTACTGGATAGGCTCCCACTTGCTTTAAGTGCGGCATTAACCTCTTTCAAATCTAAAAGACAAGTATTGATTATGTGAAGTATCTTTTATGCAACGTTTTGAAGTATCTTTTATGCAACGTTTTGCAGAGCATACATTCTCATCGAATTGTAACAAGACTGCAGTGAAAGTAGTATATCAGCTTGTATTTTTACTTTTGTCCCTTATAAAATATAAAGTTCGCTGTTGTTTGAATGTGAAAACCTAAAATGAAAAGGAAAGCTGTAAACATGTTCAAGGCCTTCCGGCGAAAACTGAACAGCAAAGTCGCCATGTCCCAAAACGTCAATCAAATCAGTTTATCCAGGGAAACCAAAAGGTCAAAGTCTTTTATCAAATTTGATCAACGGTAAAACCAAGGTAAGCTAAGCGCGGTGGGTTTGCGCACTGCATTACAACCTCGCAGACCTGGCTTCTTTATCTCCGATTATTCTAGAAAATACGCTACGGCCGTACTGAAGCCTAATTAACATTTTCTGCGTATGCTTTACAAGCGAGTATGCTGCAATTCGCGCATTTCGCTAGCTGAATAAAAGCATTCAAGAAGTAAGGCGTTCAGACCGGTTTAAGTGAGAACGAGACAAAGTCACAGCGCGAGGATTTCGGTTTGGTCACTCCATGAGACAACTGATGAGATCTGGGTTGAAAATTGCCCAGACTAGCTGGTCTGGAATCATAACCCCAGATGGAGCAACCGTAAACACTACAACTTACCTATAGACTGCTGAAGAGGGGCAGCAGTTCCCCTTCGTTTCTTTACCTGACCACGTGCAACCTGTCTTGCCCTGGACCCGAATCCGAGACACTGCATAGTTTCAGTGATAAACCTCTGGACGGGTGATACACATAGCATGACCAACAACTTAGCATCACCACCTACAGTGAAATAAATATGTCTGACCATGAAGAGTGTTGGTGACAGTGGTCGGTACCCAATACCTTTCACCTCTTATTTGGAATCCTGTAATATGCGGTTTTCTGATTACATCTCTTTTTCCGGGTACGTCAGTTTCCTTTTGCAGTACCCTTGGACCAAAAAGGTCCCCTGCCTTCTCCGCAGGCTTCTCCGCAGGCCCTTCATTGGGCACAGTGCAGTGCAATTGCAATCTATATAGATCAGTGGCTGTGATATCATTGCCGGGCAATGCACTTTTCTCGTTTCCCTCTCCCCCCTTTGAAAGCGACTGGGGACGAGGCTAAAAGGTCCTTACTGGACCTCAGGAAGAGCAGTTCAGAAATGACAGAGCTATCTAGTATAACTAAAGTTAGTTTAGTTTTTTAAGTTAGATTTTTACCAATGGTATCTTGAAGAACATGCGTTAGTTTAGTATTCCTGTATGGAATGTGTGAGCGGTGTCCAGCCAAAGCTCCCAAGACATCAGCCAAAGCGCTCAAGCTAGAAATATATTGTGGTAAATAAAGTAAATATTGTGGACTATATACTGTACTGTAAAGTTAAATCTCAAACTCATTAATAATTCAGGAAGCGGGAATGAAACACAATAGGTTCACAGTTCATACCTCTTGTTGATGAAAGATGTTTCTCTCAACGCCGTACCAGTCACACCAGATAGGCCTGCAAATTAAACAAAACTTATACCTAGCAAACGTTCGACAAAATCAAATAACTCCGTACATAATATATAGGATAAACAAACATACATACCAACACATTCGCTACCAGCCAGATCAACCAGTTGTAGTTTTGTTTTTACTACCATGGCGTTTGATGCAGGAGTGTCAGGTGGTGACGGAGAGTTTGGATGGGAGTTGTTTGGAGGCACAGGGGACCTGGAACAGTAAGTCAGATATACAGTCAGATATACGTCGCTTGGCGTAAGAAATACAACGTCTGCGAGCAGGCTATCGGACTTTGAGTGGCTAGTTATTACTAACACTTAGTCAAGTTGAGTCAAGCATGGTAAGATCACGGAAAGCTAGTACCTGCATTAGGAGACATTGATCATTAGGGTGTTGGAGACACAGTTCGATTCATGTAGTGCGCAGTGCAATTTCCACAACCTCAGTTGTGTGTGAGAAGAGACTTCCAGTTTAACTCAACAAAACACCACACGTTCTCACAGGTTGCTCCAGTTTCATTCTGTAGTAACACTACTGTATATCATTGAAAGAAAGATCTTCCTGGACCTCTAGGAAGAACAGTTGAAGTGCGACTAACCCCAATATTACTCTAACAAATGTTTTAAATTTTTATAGTAAAAGACCTCATCTTCACTGTCATAGATTCCGAATATGATGTCATCAGATGAATTTTTGGAGCAAAAAAAACAAAGACGTTAATCTAATCTTACTTTGATCTGCTCCTTGGATCTTTATCATATGATCCTCCTCTTTTCAGACCTCGTGGTGTGATGGGAGGCGAGGGTGCTACTGACTTTCCTTTCACGGGAGGTGAGATGTGATTGGATGAGGTGTACAATGTCAACTGAACTATAAGATGTGATCGACTGGAGTGAGCATGAACTTTGGTTGCATCTTCGTGACGTTCTCTCATACCATAACCTACGTATTTCATTACTTCTTGGACACTCGAGACTGAACTGAAGAAACATGAGAAATGAAAGATTCATTAAAATTATATTAATCACAACATGCAAAGTCGTGCGATGTTTTGGAGTAATTTTTCTCTTGAATGGTATATCCCAAATGTGCGTGTCCATTGCAGGAAGTATTCTACAATAAGACTTATGCCATAGTTTGTGTATGAACTACGCTGGACCTCACGTTGTTTGAGATATCTTTTTTTCCAGGTAGTTCAAACACAAACCACCGAGCAAACCACGGCAGCTTTTTGAACACTCACTATAATGGACCCCACGTTTGAGATACCATCACTCTCAGCATCGCACCATCTAATTACCGTGTTGTTAAACTTGGTATTTCTGTCGAACCATCGCTGTTAATGTACACATCTTTCTTTTCAGTCTAAGAAAAGTAAAGATAATTATGAACATTTGCCTAACCTTGCTGAACCTCTAGAGAGAACAGTTTAAATCTGATAGAGTTTATATGGTCTGCCTATTTGATATAAAGAAAATCTGCACAAACACAGAGAAAGATAACTCCTACTCACCCTAGTTGACTTATCACTCAGCAAGTCACGAACGTCATTGTTATAAATTTCACATACTGATATTTCCATTCCATAGGATTCTGACTGATTTGCACGGTCAGCCATTAACCTATGGCAACACAGAAAAAAAATGAAAGATTATGTTTGTATACAACTCATTAAATTAGAGCATTAAATCGTGGCTTCGACTCTCGCTACGGACTCGCGAGTCAGTCAACGCTGTGCCGAAAGTCGTGGGTTTTCTCGGGGTGCTCTGGTTTTCTCTCACAGGGCAAGTTGGCTGGCTGGGTGGATTAGGATAAACATAGTTAGGAGCTAAAGTCTATAGGCCTGGCCTATAGGCCAACCTATAGGTTTCTATAGGAAACCTATAGGTTTTTATAGGCAATTGGAACATTTTCTATAGGTGACCTATAGGGATGCCTATAAGCCTATAGAGCTCTATAGGTGCCTAAAGGCTTCTATAGGGAATTGGAACATTCCCTATAGGAACCTATAGGCCACCTATAGACTTTTTTCGTCAGGGTAAGTAAGTGTAATACATATACTTGATGTAATCGGTCACTGAAAAAGCCCCAATGGGGAGGAAGCTGAATAATCAAGTCTCTGTCTTCAACTTTTTTCTACCTCTATAGTATTTGTGTTTTACTCATCTTGTGCATAATGTACCTGAAAATCTCCCTTGCAGCTCGTGGTATGATTCCCTCCATGGAATAATCAGTTTCAGTACTCTCAATATCATCATTCAACGTATGTCCACCAACCATTGTGTGTGTCTTTCCTGAACCTGTCTGACCGTAAGCCATGATACACACGTTGTAACTAAGAAATACAAATCACTTTCTTTATGTCATCTTTACACAAAGGTAAGCGCTTTTCATATCTGAGATCCTGGGTTCGATTCTCGCTACGGACTCATGTGAAAAGAGTTAGACAAACAACTATGTGGAATTCATAAACTCTTTTAAATTATATTATAAAATAACATGTATATAACGCGTGCTCTGATTGGTCGAAATCCGTGTTTGGATCAGGCCATCCAAACACGGAAGACTATCGTGTTGTTGTTATTTTACAAAACAATGGACCTTTCCCCTTACAACTAAAATTTCGATCTGGACAAAAATTTCATCACAGCTTGAAAGAGCATCACAAAATTAGTAATATTCCAAAGTTTTGTTGCGAAATCTTGTAAAATGCGGATAATATAGCCTTGCGAAGTTTGCCGTTTTTCAGTCAATTTGTATTACAAACGGGAAATTGACATCCGATTCGGGTGTTGGGGCTGCAATTTCCCGTTTGTAATGCAAAATGATTGAAAATTGCAAACTTCGCAAGCCTATATTATCCGCATTTTACAACATTTCGCAACGAAACTTTGGAATATTACTAATTTTGTGATGCTCTTTCAAGCTGTGATGAAATTTTTGTCTAGACTTGCCTAGATAAATTGGTTATAAGGGGAAAGGTCTATTACTTTATGGTTTCCATGTTTGGATTGCCTGATCCAAACACTTGGATCAGGGCATCCAAACACGGAAACCATAAAGTAATTGTATATTACGGTCGTCCATCTCTGGTACAAAATCGGGCCATTTTTTCCAATTCTCTTCCTAATAGGCCTATATTTACGAAAGTTTCACTTACCCATCAAGAAGAGATGTAAGGAGAGGCGAGACATCTTCAAATACAAACTCCTGTGTAGCGTTTTGTTCATAGACTCTCTCAAATTCAAATCTCTTCTTCTGAATCGTACCAGTCATTGTTTTGTTCGGTAGAACAGCCACATTTTCATCATCAACGACATTCACAACTTGTTCAAAAGCTGTGCCAGCCTTGCCAAGATCTTTACTAACTCCGCCAGAATCCAACGCTGCTATGAGTGGTCTCACGCGACAGTGGACACGGATATTGCCACGCAATTCCTGGTAAACATTCAAATGAAATCGTCAGTTGGAACGCGTTCCATTTCAATTAGAACACAACTTGGAACGCAATTTGAACTTAATCAAGAACGCTGTCTGTCAGGTAATTGCCTTCCGTCGACATGCATCCAACGAAGGATGAGAGTTGCAACTCGTTTCGCATTTTGGTTCAAATTTTAATGAGAGTTGATAAGAGTTTTCGCTATGCGCGTGGTAATATCCAGTCAACTTTCATGACACTTTTGTTCTCGTTTGACCGGAGCATGAGAGTTGAGAAAACTCTCATGCGAACTCTCGCTTCTCAACTCTCATCAACTCTCATGCAACTCTTGTTCTTGTTTGACCAGACCATGAGAGTTGAAAAAACTCTCATCATTACAAACTCTTGCTTCTCAACAGTCTCAACTCTCATTCTCGTTTGAGCAGGGCTTTGTAAATTGAAGTTCGTTTCAATTACCACTAGAACGTTATGTAATGTACGTCTTCTGTATTTCTCCGCGGATGCCCTCTGTAAAGCTTCGTCAAGAGCCGTCTCAGTTTCCAACAACTTTGCCTGGACATCTGGGAAGATGAATATTCCTTACAATTCAGAAACTCAAATCATGTGTTAAAGCCCATTTCCACTCAAGAAAAATTTTCCGAAAATGTCATTGTTAAAAGTTGAAAATTTTCAACGTTTTGTTTGAACAAAATTTTCATTTTACAAATTTTCCTGAGTGGAAATGGGAGTTTAATAATGAAGAGGAAATAGCATCAGAAGAGGAAATAGCATCAGAAGAGGAACTAAGAACATTGGAAAAGATGATCACATTCATTGATCATTAGTTTTTTATAATATAGCATTTGTAAATACTGCACGCCGATTGGCTAAGAGCCGTGTTGATATAACTCAATGTCAACACGGAAAATTTCTTTCTTCATATTTCTTTGTGCTATATTATAAAAAAAATATAAAACATTTTTTCCGCATTGATATACAGTTATATCAACACACTCGTGGAAATTGGGAAAACTCGAAATTGTGTGAAAACCAATTTCGAGTTTTCCCAATTTCCACTCGTGTGGATATAACTGCATATCAACACGGAAAATGTTTTATATTTGTTAAATGTTTCATGGTAAAAGGCATGGATAAAAATACTATACAATTATTATTTTTATTACAATTCAATTATGAACGGTCTGTGGCAGTGTTGGTATAATAAGAAAACTTCAGATTAATTAATAGGGATGGAACTACCTGAAAAATTGTGTTCTTCTTGTATTTTTCAGGCAGTTGCATCCCTATCAATCCAAAGTTTTACAATTCAATTACCATCTAAGTTTGAAGTTCCAGACAAAAGCCTCTCACTAGCCAACTTGGCATTGTGTATTTCGTTCTCCATCATATTTGGCAAATGTTTCACCATTTGAGACAAGTTCTCAAAATCCTGTTTGATCACAGTAACTTTATTTGCCAATCCTTTAAAGTTTTTTGATGTTTTGTTGCTAGATTTGAGTTCATTTTGATATAATCTTCTCAGATGTGATGCTTCAGATTTGCAGTGGTGAAGAGAACCTTGACACTAGAATTGAAAACTCTAGGATGTAGGCAGGGCTGCCAAGAGGGGGGGAAGGGAGCACTATGGGGGCAGGGGAGCACACCCTAAAGACTAATGCTCATAAAGAGGGATAGGCCAAAGTTCATCAGGGGGGTGGGGAGGGCCTGGAACAAGGTTCAGTAGGGGGTTGGACTAAGGTTAATAACAGGGGGTCAAGGACCAAAGTTTATGAGGGGGATGGGACAAAGCTTCACAAGGCAGGGGGTGTGTGGACTAAGGTTCATAATGGGGATTGGCATAATGTTAACATGAGTGGGCCAAAGGGAGAGGGCAGAACCAAGGTTACATAGGGCAGAGGAAAAATATTTTCAGGGGGGTGGGTGGGAGATCTGAATTCATAAGATGGCAGGACCAAGATTAGTAAGGGGACAAAAACAAATTTAATTTCATAAAATATCACTGCATGCAAAAATAACAAATATTTAACACATAAAGAACATGCAGAAAGGAATGGAAAGAAGTTAGTAGAGAACTGTACTGAGAGATCAAGATTCAAGAGAGACACCATATAAATAGTCCACACTTCCTTGCATATTACTGATATTATTTATACTCACATCAGCTAGTTTAAGATACAACATAGCATTCTCGGTTTCCAAGGCGACTATCCTCTCTTCCCGTGTCTGGAAGAAAAAAGAACTATTTTTAATTTGCAACATGTCAAAAGATCAGAGAACGTCAAAATTATCATACCCGTAAAAGTCGTTCGAGTTTTTGTACTCTCTCCTTAAGCCCGTCCTCCGAAATCTCAGGCATTGTTTGGAAAACAAACTAAGACACATTCGTTGCAATTTATTGATATGTTGTCAAAATGTTTTATATAAAATAACAAAAGCGTCGTTGGTCGCCAGGAATCAAGATTGGAATTTGTTGTCATGTAGCTTCAAAACTTCATGTAAACACAAATTAAAAGGATTGTAATGGGAAATTCTAAGTTTTAAAAGTGGAAACTTTGCGGAGGAGAGATTCCAGAAAATATTCATGGTTCCACGAGAATTTCTAAGATATCTGCAAAATGTACAGAAGACAAAGATATTTCAAAAATTCTCTGCCTGATTATTTAACAAGTGGGCAAAACGAAGGAAACTGTTATTTTGTTCAAGACCTCATAAAATCCTACGTGCAACAAATTGAGCAGAGGTTTAAACCCGCTCCCCAAAATACAGATGAAGGGGCCGGGATGTATGTTGGTTTAGCCGGAGTTGCGTTCATGTTCTTGAAAATGGCATGCAGCAAATGTTTCCAAGAAAAGCGGCAAGAATTATTGGCAAAAGCTTTCACTTATATCAAGGTGGAAAATTGTAATTCATGGTGGCACGGAAACCAAAAAGTGACAATCCACTCCACGTGTGTGTGTGTGTTGGGGACGAAGTCAACCAATGTACTTAATTTACTGATTTATTATAGATTATATTACAAGTGATTACATTAAAAGTGAGTGGGAGGCCCCCCTAGGATTGACGTCCTTGACAGGAATTAACCACGCCTTTGCAACCAAGACAAGTGTTTACAGTCTCACTGTATCAAACATCACAGGGTTGAGTTTTACTGGATGGATATTAATTAATGAAAAATATCATTATCAAAATCGGTCATTTCTAGGTGGCCATTGAAGAAGCCAACAGGGTGTCTCCGTCAAGTAGTGATGGAATCGGAGCTTCGTTTCTCCTTGGTCATGCTGGAGCGTTTGGTCTAGCAAGTGTTATTTCTCATCAAATAGGTATACCCCTGGCCTGAAACGTTTAGCACTACCATGTAACATTTAGCCCTACCCATGCATTAATGCACAAAACTCTCCCTTGGAGGATTGTCTGAATACTACAGCTGATATCACAGCTAAGACATCTTTATTCCTAGGTGATGCAAACAATGAAGCGAAGTTTGTTCAACAATTTTTGGAGATGGGTCAACTTTTACAACCAAATCAAAGATTGTTACGCCATGGTGCAAATGAGCTGTTTGTTGGTCGAGCAGGCTATCTCTGTATGGCAAGATGGATGCAGAAAATGTTAGGCAAAAATGTCATCCCTCCTATCTTGATGGAGGTTTTGTTTAACACAATTGTCACAGAGGGAAGATCATATTCATATGAACACAGATCACAGTCACCATTGATGTATTCTTATTATAACACTGAATATTTAGGTACAACTGACTTATTCTTGAATGATCTGTACCAGTGTAGGCCAATAATAAAGCTTCCTGGATGGATAGAGGTACCCTTGGCATGACCCGATTGCCAAGCCTTTGTTTGAAACGTTGAAGTTCTTCTATTTTTCTGCTAGTTGTATCTCTATATCAATCCGAAGCTTTCTCAGAACTGACTTATATATTTTTGTTTGTTTGGATTGCACTAGCTGTTAAATCCCCCCTTGTACTGCACAATCTTCAAATTCCTAATTTTTTTATCAATAGGTGCTGCACATGGACTGAGTTCAATTATTCAAATATTGCTCTGCTTTCCTGCATGCTTTGATGGAAAATCGGAGATTGAAACCGACCTCAAAAATGCAACTGACTTTATACTGCATTGCAAACAAGACAATGGCAACTATCCCCCCACAGTTGGTGAGGAGCAAGGTACTGGTGATGAGTTAGTACACTGGTGTCATGGTGTACCGGGCGTGGTATATTTGATGGTGAAAGCTTACATACAGTGGACAGATGAGAAGTACCTCAAGGCTGCATTTGAATGTGGTGATGTAGTCTGGGAGAAAGGCTTACTGACCAAAGGACCTGGAATATGCCATGGTGTTGCTGGTATGATGGTCATATTTATCCTCATTTGATATAAGTGGTTGCACAATATGGTGGATACCATGCTTTGATAAACAATAACAAACAATGTGCCCAAATGCGTTCCCTAGCCTCCTCTGCAAACAACTCTTAGGGAATCGGAAAAAAATTTGGTGAATTAAAAATTTGGTAAAACTTGTTTTAACCCTAAGTCATTTGCAGGCTATAACTCATAGTGATGTCTACAGAGGAAGTTATGCATTCTCTTTCATTACATTTACTTTCAAAGGTGTCTTCCACATTATTAGGTTAAGAGGCTTGGTTTGTAGTCTATTTTTCTGCATTATTAAGTTACTATTTTCTTTTCTCAGGTAATGGCTATGTTTTTCTAATTCTCTACCGTCTCACAAATGATGAAAAGTATCTCCACAGAGCTGTGCAGTTTGCAAAATTTCTTACAACAGAAGAGTTTATACATGGGGCGAGAACACCAGACGCACCTTACAGTTTATATGAAGGACTAGCTGGCACCGTTTGTTATCTGTTAGATCTTCTACAACCAGAACAAGCTGAATTTCCTTTCTTTGATGTATTTTAGTTATTTGTGATACAATGTTCATGCTCAAACCTATACTTATTAAACCATGTACACTGTATTATTAAAATATTCTTCCAAAATATTTTTCCATGGCTGGCCCAGACAATATTTAAAACCCGTTCAAACCCAGCAGGGCCGTTCCGCTAGCGTGATAATTGGGGGGTATTCATATATTTGTGTTCTGCCCGACGGATTTCTTTTGAAAGCGATTGTTTTACGGTATGTGAACATGAATATATGAATATACCCCCAATTATTGCGTCTAGGAATGGCCCTGAAACCCAGGCTGGTTCAAGTGTTGATTTTGAAATTTAAAGACAAAGCCTTTAATCCTTTTCAACATCTTCCAAAATTAGCTATCATAGTGTTTCAATAGCCAGCAATGTTGTAAGATATTGGACCAATATCTTACAATAGTTGAGCGGGCCTTCACAGTAAAGCGCGGAAGCATAAAAAACAGGCGAAGCCCTAAGAAAAAGGCCTCAGAAAAAGGCCCCAGAAAAAGGCCCCAGAAAAGTACGGTGCTAATGACTAGTCCAGTTCAGGGTTTGCTTCTTCTGTCTTCTTCAGTGGATCAGGGAATTTTTTTTATTTTCGGGATTAACGATAGAATATCAACGATATCGTATCCGCATTTAATATAAACTTAGCGTGAATAAACAATCGATTCGTGCAATATATATCGCAATCAATGACACTTATTTCCTCATTCCAGGAAAGGTATCCAAAGTATGCCTATGAGACATAAGAGACTTTTTTTTAGAAAAACAATCTATGTTTTCATGCAACCTCTTCGATTTAGGTATCAAGTGTATGGAAAATCCCACCCACGATCATTAATGCCCCGGTCAAACGAGACAACAAGAGTTTCATGAGAGTTGACTGGATATTACGGCGTAAACTCTTATCAACTCTCATTAATGCTCCGGTAAAATGAGATAACAAGAGTTGCATGAGAGTTGACTGGATATTACGGCGCGATAGCGTAAACCCTTCTCAACTCTCATTAAAGTTCAAAGTCAACGAGAGTTGACGGTCAAACACGAGCGAGAGTTGCAACTCTCATCCACATTTGACCGCGGCTTCACCCTTTAAGTGGCAATGCATGCGCCCTAGTACTTTATTATTTTACTCTGTCTAACGCCAGACATTTTACTCGTCAGGGGGAGAGCCGGCTGCCACTCATTGGGTTAAGTTATGTAAAATACATGAATACGTAAGAAATACATGAATACGATTCCAATTTCAAGAACAGATTTGTCAAAGAACTTTGGTGGTGCAATCTTCAGAGTAACGATCTTTTACCTTTGCGATTGTAAACTGTAAAGTTTAATTTTCACCCCTCCCCCGCACGCCCCCCTCTCCCATCCTCGTTCTCACACACCTACGACAACGTGGGCGAGTTGTTTGCTTCATTTACACAGTGCAACTCAACTGTGTAAGCAGGTTGCATACAACTTGAGCTGTATACAGTTTTAGACAGTTTGTGTAGTATAAATCGGCCTATACATAGCTGCCAGTTTTATGTCCGCCATGCATGTACCATGGGCGTTTTAAAGGGGCAGTGTTACGGTTCTACTGCGCATCCAAAATATGCGCGAACTTGAAAAACTGTCTGCCAACAACAATGGACCATTTGCATTATAGACTAAAGTTTGATCTAGACAAAAATTTCATCACAGGTGAAAGAGCATCACAAAATTAGTAATATTCCAAAGTTTCGTTGCGAAATGTTGTAAAATGCGGATAATATAGCCTTGCCAAATTTGCAATTTTCAGTCATTTTGTATTACAAACGGGAAATTGATGCCCCAACACACAAAATGACTGAAAAACGGCAAACTTCGCAGGGCTATATTATCCGCATTTTACAACATTTCGCAACGAAACTTTGGAATATTACTAATTTTGTGATTCTCTTTCAAGCTGTGATGAAATTTTTGTCTAGATCAAAATTTAGTCTATAATGCAAATGGTCCATTAATCAAGTTAGGAGTGAAATACGATATACTATTCATAATCCCTCCGTTATGCAGGACATCTTTGCTTTGTTTTAAAAATTGAAGGCTGCTGCATCTTTTCCAATCATGTAGCATTAATTTTAAACGTTTCTTTGCACCGTTTATTTTAGCCAATCAGCGCCGTGACACTGCCTCTTTAATATACTTGACACGTGAAAGACAGAAAAAGATCTGTGCTTATCTCTTCCGCACTACTCCTACGGCTACGTACGCTGTTGGAGGAACGATGGTGTCTTTTGAGCAAAACTTCACGACACTTTTGATTTTTCACCAACAGCACAATTATTTCTTTCTGGAGAGTTTAAAAGGATCTTGTATTCCCTTTGTGATTTCCGAAAATTCTTAGCTACCAAGATAGAAAGCTATGACAACGAAGAGTTACACAGGAAGTCAACAAGAAGATGCCGGTTGATTTCTTAATGGGGCTCGATAAACTGCTCAAATTAATTGAGTTTTACTGCAATTAGCAATTCACGAGGAAATTAGCAATCATAAACAAAGCTTCTTATAACTGTAGTTACAAAACTGACTTTGTGTGCAATCGAAACTCTTCTGACACTTGGGCTTGGCAATTCCTGTTGGGTCTCCTGGCAACCCTTATATGAAGACCCTATATATATATATATATATATCCTTGAAGATATATATACCCCTGACACGTACATATGATGAAATATGATACAGTATTTCCCGAGGGAAAACACCTCGCGCCCACGATTATTTATAGGCCTCCATCGCCGAAAACATGATGACAATGTAGTAGGCGAAACTGCGAAAGAATCTAGAAAAGTCTAGATCGGTTAACACTAAAGTTAGTGATGAAATCCTGCGCCATATGCGATTGATCGAAACACAGCGTTTATAGTCGAAGATGCATTTGGACATATATACTACTCTTTCACAATAATTTCTTTTAGGACGTTTGATATACTTTCATCACGCCAAAAATGTTATGTCATGGCTGTGTTTCATTCATAAATAATATATGACTGGGTAGCCAAAATCAACAGGGTAGATAATTGGAACATAATTGTTTCTTCCAATTTTGTGGTCAGCACGACATTGACAAACGGAAAACATGAAGTCAAATCATACTTTCTGGGGTAATCTAACATATGATATGAATCATTTTACACTCGAAAAAGTAGCATCGACACACTAGTAAGATTAGAAGCTTTATCAATTAGGTAGAAATTAAGCGTCATCACCAAGGGGCGCCGTGTATACGAAGGCTGGATGGTCTGGATGGCGCGATCCAACTTATACTGATTTTTTCAAACTGTCTAAAATTGTCGTAGCATAACAAAGTCAAAGATTAAAGTTTACTAGTAATAAATCAAGAAGTTTTTCATATTTATTGTAAGGCCCGTATCTGTAGATTCACAACTTTTTAGGCATTTTTAGTCTTTTTACCGCAATTGAAAAGATCACCATTTGCTGGAAAGCACGATCCGGCCTTCGTAGAGCCGGTTCCAGCAAGAATATGTCCATATACGGCTAATTGATATTACTGATACCTCGTTGAAACTGAAACACCAAATATCCCATGTTGCCAAATGCGAACCCATACGAAGAGATGCAAAGACTAAAGGTAACTTGGTAGATGTAAAAAATCTCATATTAAGGCTAACGTGAATCTAAAGATCAGGTACAAAGTCGACCGAGAATATACGAGAAAAAGACAAGACCAAGTAACAAGGACCTTCTTCAACTCAAAGACAAGAAATTTGAAAGTTTAAAAATAGTTGAAATATGATACGAAGCACGTCAGCACTCGTTTAAGTTTTGAGGTGACACCTTCTCGGTTCTGTCAAGTCATAGGTTTCGTGTTTGGCAATTCCCTATTAAAAACGGAAGGTCATAACTCGGAAGGACAATATTTGTCAAGGCTCAACTCTTATTGTGCCCACGCTAGAGTAACGACGTAAATACATGCAAAATAACAGGGATGCTACGTATGGATGCTACGTATGCAAATTAGCACAGATTCAGCGACGGCTCTCTGATTTGATCTTGAAAAGCAATTAGGAAATAACATAATAAACACGGTCAATCTTCAAGCGAGTGTATTGGTGGTTTCGCTATGGCTTTTATAGGGAAAGCGGGACGCGTTGCTGATGCGGTAAAGAGAAGTCCTAAAGTACTTCGAAAAAAGATAGAAAGAAAATTTGGTAGTCATGAAAGTAAGTAATGTTTTGGTGTTTGAAACTGATACTCGATCTTGCGTATGATTTTAATACCGACACAAGTCGAGAGCTACTGATTTATATTGAGATCCAATTTTCATTAAGCTTTCTTAAATATTTCTGTTCACGTGAAACTTATACACAGTCAATGTAATAAACTTTGTGATTTAGTGTTATAGGGGTAGATTAGATAGGTTATGACTTATGTGTGTGTCGAGACTTAGCTGGGATTCAAGTCCTTAAGCAAATATTCCCATTGTGTGAATCTTGTTTGAAGTGTTTGAATATCTGATCGATCGTGGTTAGAGAAAGAGATGGAATTTCAATGTAAAAATTAGTTAGATCGTAGGCAACAATGATTCATGTTACATTTTGAATTAATTGAGACATTTTGTAACAAGTTTGATCACGTTAATTTGAGGACCCACATGTATTTAAATACGAAGGATAATCTTTCGCAATACTAATAGATCGCATGTGTTCGACCAAAGAGCAAATAGCTAGGATTTTCCAAAATATTGATGGAATTGTATAATATTGTAAACACTATAAATTGGTCACGCAAAAAATCCTAACTTGGTCTAAAGGTCATGAGGTATAATGCCTGAGAGCAAGGCTATGATGGCAATCACACTTGAGAGATCATCATTGATGGGGGGTCCACCTGGGGGTCCCTTATTATATGGACTCTTTTGTATTGCTAATATTTCAGTAGGTAATTTAGTTAAGATATTGAAGTTAATATAAATTGCCAAGATACCATAACAATGATGTACTAATGTCTGGCTAAATCAAGCTCCTGATATTTGCAAATCTAATCTGATTCATTTAGATAGATTAATATAAATCACAGATTGTGGATTAACCTTTAATATAATGATATTTGCAGCTTTACGAGAGGACTGGTTGCATGAAAATGAGGCATTGGTTGACGGAATTTCATTTTATGTTAAGGTATTTAATCATGCTTTTAATTGTTGAATATTCGTATAGCAGTGCACATTTTACAGGGCGGGGGGGGGGGGACCAAGATTAGGACCCAGTGTGTGTTTAAGTCACTCAGGGTAAGGTTAGTGCCCCAATCTCAGCCACTACTAGTGGGGCCTGCTGGGTCAAATGCCCCCCCCCCCCCAAGTATACATGTTAAAATATGCCTTGATGTATAGTTGAGTCATAATTGTATCACCCAATAATCAGCAATGCAACTTAATTTAGTTCTCAAGTGGAGAGTCTTGTATAATGATAGTTACCATGAAATGTAATGATTTATATCTGATATAATTTTCTTAGTATTTGGGCTGTGCTCCTGCAGTGGACGCCCAAGGCCAGGGCGTGACGGATGAAGCGGTCAAACGATTGATAGCAGAGGCAAAGGTAATATAAAAATAACAGTCAATACCTGTACATATACAAATTATGAGCATTTAATGTTCTTTACTGAAATTTATTTTTAAAGACAGAGCAAAAAAGCTGACCTCAAAAATATGCTTCTTTCTGCAGATGAAGAAATCGAAAGGAGATATGAAACTACAGAAGGTTGTTCTTACAATTACGCCGCAAGAAATCAGAATAGTTGATCTCACCACAAAAGTAAGTTGTTTTTAAAAATATATGTCAGAGTATCGTATGTCCACCACTTTAATTCCCTCAGATAACATCATTGGGACTTCAATTGAACAGGTTTTTTAAAAATCTGGCCAAAACAAACCTTGTTTGGTTTGAACCAAATTTTCCTGTCAAAACCATCTCAAAGCTAAAACATTTCTCATTCCATTTAAAAGTAAGATCAATCCAGGACCAGTCTTCCCCAAGGAAATGTTGCAAAAACATTAATTCCTGCTCTATTTCCCAAATGTTCCCTCAACAAAAATCACACTTGGAAAACAAAATATTCCAAGTGGAATTTCGTGCAAGAACATTTTCAGTTTCTCCACAAAGCAACAATGTTCCCAAGCATGGACAAAAAGAGAAACATATAATATGCCATTCCTGAAATATGTCATTTTGGCTACAGAGCCTCGTTTAAATGCTTTCCAGAAGCATGTATTAGGAAACATTGAAATTTTTGCAATGTTTCTGCAATGTTTCCTAGTTTGCCAAATATATTTTTCTTAAAACTTATAATTTGTTTTCTTCAGACACCAACAGAAGTAATCCCAATATTCAGGTATGCAAAAGTGAAATATTTTTGCGACCTTTTATATTTTTAAACTAACAAATTAAATTTGTTTAAAAGAAGAAATAGTTCGTCCTAGCAAGGCAGTTGGTCCTTAAATAGACCACTTTAGCCTAGCCACCAAACTATATAACTATAGTCTTTTTTTTTCAAATAATTCCTTAAATAAATAAAAAAACAACTATCATATAATCACATAAACATCTCTGTATTATTTATACAAACCTTCTTCCCAATAATTTACGACTTTTTTGTAGCAGAATTGCCATTCCATTAGCTTCAGTTTATTCATTTTCCCCCTCCAGATAAAAGACTGGCATTCACAGCAACTTTGTATGCTTTTCTTCTTCATTTTGAACCATAAAAACACATTAAATTTGTTCATTTTGTTTGATAGAAAGCATTTTCTAGTTTCTATATTTTTTAATTTTGCGAAGACGAACCTATTGCGCTAGAGCATATCGAAAAGAGCGGGAAAACAAAACCCACCGCGCAATTAATGCAATTTTGCCTCCCGACTCAATCTCGTTCCCCGAGCCTGCGATCCTCGGGAAGGAATCGAAGGCTCTGGGATAATCCGTTACCGGAAGCCAAGAATCATGGCTAAGATTGAACTACGCATTCCATATCAATGGCCAATCAGATTCCTCCCTGAAACGGATTATCCCAGAGCCTTCGGTTCCTTCCCGAGGATCGCAGGCTTGGGGAACGAGATTGCCTCCCGACTCTTCCAGTCCCTCATTCGTTCGCGATCACACCAGCCTAGTCCCTAGGCCTCTTAGTACGCCCTATTGCGCGTTTCTGCATATTAATGAGGTGACGGCTCCGCTCGGTGACGTCACGGAAATCAAAAGCGTGCACAGAGGACTAGCGACTAGTCTGCGATTACACGTTTTATCGACGAGGCAGATTTTGCCTAAGATTGATCTACATTAAAAGATTCTCCAATGTAACATAAAACAAAATATTGTAATTCCAGGGTATCGTATTGCACGGCTGATCCAAACTTTTCAAAAGTATTTGCATTTAATGCAAGAGAAAAGCAAAGCCTTCAGATCAGATGTCGAGCATTTCTATGCATGAAACCAAAAATGGTAAGTGCCTTATTTGCAATGATAACTTATCTGTTCGGCCAAAAAAATGCTCTTCCTAGAGGTCCAGAAAGACCCATCGCTTATTGGGACAGTGTTGCTACAGGAGGAAACAAAGAATAACAGTTTGGTAGAGTCAAACTGGAAGCGCTCTTCTCACATGTGGCTAAAGTTACATTCACTAACATACTGCAATGACCCTGAAAATCTGTTTTCTTTTACGATAGGCAAAAGCGATTGCTCTAACGGTCGCTCAAGCTTTCAACGTAGCATTTGAGGCGTGGGAGGTAAGTGGTGAAAAACTCCACCTTTCTTTCAATTTCTCTTCAATCATGTAGAATGTGATGAACACTTGTACATTTTCACAGACTATGAAAGAAGAAAAAATTCAAAAGGCTGAAGGAACCAAAATTGTTCCAGTAATCCAAACTACCCCTCCTTCACCTCATACGAATGGCACTCCTGGAAAACTTAACGGTTCCCCTGTATATACTGGGAGAAGAGCGTCGGAACCTCTTAGTAATGATTTATTAGCTCTTGATGATTCTGGCAGAAGTTCATCATTCTCGACTGCACCTTCAATGCAATTAACACCTCCGTCACCCAGGAGACCTTTATCTTTGGTAAGACTATCTTTACTAATATGCCGATGATTTGTAGATGTTTTGTTTGGTTATTTAATCCTGTAAATTTACCTTACATTTTCTTCCCAGGTTATTTCATTCGATAATGAATTCGACGAAGAGTTCACAAAGTAAGTTTTTATGCACGTCTAAAATTATACGTTTTGGCTCGTTACGTTTGCGTTTTATGCTCCGAACGCTTTCAATTTGCATTTTACGTTCAGAACGCGTTCGAAGTTGTAGGTTTGTGTCACTTTGTGTTTCTTGTTTCGAACGCGGTTCAAATTGCGTTCCATGTTCAGCACGCGTTTCAACTTTCAAATTGGGATACAATAAATACTGTCTTTCTCCTGTAGGCTTGCAAGGTCAAGATCAAACCCACATCTCTTGGACATCGGCTTCGAGAAAGAGGAGATTCAAAACGGGGACTGGGGTCCATTGTTGGATATTACCCAAAGCGAGGACGATCTCTTCAAATCGAAGTCCTCCGAAGACTTAAACAAATTCCATATTTAAATTTATGATAATATATTACGCTTTAGCAAATTACGGGTACATACGTAAAGGCAATACAGTTTAGAACTGCATATCTATTTTATATATAACCATGTAAGCTAAATTAATTATATAGATATATTTAACATGGTATGGTTGATAAATATACCCGGGTGCATTTAAAAAGGAGGTAGGGATTGTCACCCTAGTCATTTGCGTATGGGGGCACCCTCCTTGTTTTAGGGTGAAGACCTTGATCCCTAATGGGCGAGGATTTGTCTCTTTCAAACATAAACTTAATAGTTAGGAGGATTCCGTTTTGAATTATGAATATTTATATTGAGAAAACTAATGAAGTTCTGTTACATAATAAAAAAAATTAAATCTCGACATAGGTCAAAATTTTAAATCAATAAACACAACACTGTTGGTTATATATGTATACTATTCACTAACATGACAATACAATATATTTTTTTACAACCTGCATTCTTACTTTTTGTCCATATCAGTTATCCACGAAGTCCATCATATCTCAGTAACTCACTTGCGTGTAAATACTGTTTTTATCCTAAACTATCAGCATGCATCGTAATAATACTTTCATGTTATCAGTAAGTGATCCTCAGTGATTAGGCTTCAATATAAATATATGGAACCAAAGTTAGAAGGTGTTTTGGTTCACAAAATGCTGAAGTGTGCTCGATATTATAAAGATAGAGCAGATATAATTCTTACCTCAAAAAGTTGCCACAACAGATTGTTTCATTATTATGTTATATAGTTACCAGTTAAAGTTACGTTATATAGCCACCATTATGGCTGCACAATTTATTTAGACAATTGTGGCAAGATTTATAGATGTGTGATCTACAGGATTCAAAGTTATAAGTTTAATAAATGTGCAAATTATTGGCTGAGATTCCTGCCATATAGCGTAAATAATTCAATACATAAGTAAATACAGCTAGAAACTATTTTAATAAACTCAATAGACGTTCGACCATCAGCTCAGTTAAATCTCACCAACATTGTCCTTGCCATCTCAGAGCATATTCAATGTTGTTGCATGCTCAATGTCAGAGTATTTTTGAACGCGGTATCTTCATCTTGATTCAAATCCTACAATCACGAGCAAAAATTATCGAGACATCCTATTTGCCCCCCCTCCCCCCAAAACAATGTTGTTACCATGATACCAAAATACAGTGTTAGCTGAAAACATTCACCCAATGGGGGGGAGGGGGTAAATAGTAAGAAAAGATCGAATTATACGAGTCTTCTTTGGACAAAATACGAAGATGATTCTTACCACAAAACGGTCGTAGTCAAAACGATGACGTAATTTGATATGATCAAGAAAGTTGCCACTGAGTTGATCAGAATCTCCCCACGGCATCACTTTACAAATTGGACACACCTGAAGTAACAAGTATCCCATACATTAACATATTCGACAACTAAACTAAGCCTCAGTCAAAGGAGAGTTGAGAAACGAGAGTTTGCATGAGAGTTGAGAAACGAGAGTTTGCATGAGAGTTGAGAAGCGAGAGTTTGCATGAGAGTTGAGAAACGCGAGTTTGCATGAGAGTTGAAAAACGAGAGTTTGCATGAGAGTTGAGAAGCGAGAGTTTGCATGAGAGTTGAGAAACGAGAGTTTGCATGAGAGTTGAGAAGCGAGAGTTTGCATGAGAGTTGAGAAACACGAGAGTTTGCATGAGAGTTGAGAAATGAGAGTTTGCATGAGAGTCGAGTGTTTGCATGAAAGTTGATAAGCGAGAGTTTGCATGAGAGTTGAGAAGCGTGAGTTTGCATGAATGTTTTCTCAACTCTCATGCCCCGGTCAAACGAGAACAAGAGTTGCATGAGAGTTGAATGGATATTACCGCGCGTTGAGAGTTGGCGCTCAAATACGAGTTGGAACTCTCATCAACTCTCTTGCCTTTTTGGATCTTCGCTTAAAAAGGTAATTCCTCTTATGTAACTGTTATTCTTGATAACATATTGTATGCATTATTGATGCAAATAAATTTATGAAAACAAAACTCAAAGAACAAGGGCTGTACTATAGTAACGTATTCATACCACTTTAGGGTCTTCATCCTTGTGCAGGCCCAACACATGACGCAAAAGATCGTCTCTGTCAAGATTTCTCTTGCTGCAGTAAGGACATGGAAATGTATAGATATTGTTTCCAGACATATCTCCTAGACCACGACCAAGACCAAGGCTAAGAAAAGATGGATTACTTCATAGTTATGTACAAGGAAGACAACTTTTCAAACAAACCTCCAGGTTTTAGATAATGTGCTATACTACAAGCCACAATCAATCTGCACACATGATAATTTGATTTCAAAAATACATTTAGAATTTTGAATAAAAAAATCAAATCCCTGTGAAGTATTTTATTAAAAATTCCCTGGCAGCAGTGCTGGTGCCCGAATTTAGGGACCGCCTGCCATGCAGGCTAATAAGGCAGGGGCCTGACATTTTCCAGCGCTGTGCTCATCTACAGTACCTAGTTGAAGGTCCATTGAAACTTGCAGTACTGCCACAGATTCTTTCATGACGTCTGAATTCTGTCAAAATCACCTAGCAATAAAGAAATTGACGTTACGTTTAACCATTTCATTCTCTGCAAGATTCAGGACGGTAACGCCAAGAGGAAACATAACATAAAAAGACGCATGTATTTTCTTGACGAGAACCGAGGGTCTCCCAGGGAACCTACATGCAAGACAAAGACATCAACTGCTTACATTGTTACTGCATCTGCTGCAAATGATTGATTGTATTGACATCTTCTGAATCATATCAAAATCAGTCTCTTTTAAGCCATCAGCAGGTTTGCGACAAACCGGGCATGTCTGATTCCCATTGGCTGCCCAAGTTTGGTTAACGCAGTCTTCACAAAATCTAGTAAAAGTTGAGCAAGATGATAGCTATAGGTTTAGTTAGCCTTGCCTAGTAGGGCACAGAATAAAGACACACAGAAGGTCGACTGCAGCCAAAACAGCGTAACCGCTGCCACGCCATGATTCGTCATCAAAATGCTGACGCCATGGTCTAGGACAGTGCTCTTATGAGGAGCCCCCCCCCCCCCCCTGGACGATTGAAATTTGCATAGCATGAGCAAATTGTCGGGCTGGCTAACGCCATTAACTAACATGGGTACGTAATTGAAAAACCTATCATGTAAACGTTCAATTTGAAATGTAAAGCGACATTCTGTTGTGTCAAACTTGTTACGCTAAAACCTATGTAAATTATGCGAATAATTAATAACAGATACCTGGAATCCCCCTACGGGGAATTTGAACCTTTACAAAATTTAAAGCGAAAGTGATGATTTATTAGAACATGCGTTTCGATTCGACTGTTTTCGGATACCATTGAAACGCATAAAATATAAATTATAACATAAGAAAATTTTATGTAGGATAAAATGAAGTAAAAGTACGTGAAAAATTAAATGAAACAGATATTTGCTTAGTTTCAATTTTTAATTTCACTTCCGTCAACAATGCTCTGCAGCAGTAGCCAGTAAGCTGTCGAAACACTGGGAAAAAATGACAAAAATCACGTACAAATCTCCGAAATTTCGTTGATACTCGTAGTACATATGAATAGCTTAGAGTTAGTGCAAGTCGTATATCTTAAAGCTTATTTTCCGATCAAACCCAAGCTACAGAGCAGTAACAGACAAAGTATAGGACTAATGACGACATTCTAGAACGGAGCCGTCCATACATTTCATACCAAATAACGATTATAGTACATAGGTATGCGTTGTGCCGAATGCAGAAATTACAATTCTAGATTGCGATTATTCTGTCCGCATGCGAGCGGTGCTTTTAGAAACACAAAAACCATTTTAAACGCATGAAAAAACAACAAGATATGAAAACGAAAGTAAGATTAATACTCGATTCACACATGAAAGCGCTAACAAAGGGATAAAATGAGAGTACGTAGACACTTACGTGTGGTCACACGATATCTTCACAGGATTTTTATAAACATCTTTGCACACGGAGCATGTAACGGCATCCAATTCTTCAGCATTAGCGACCGAAGCCATCTTTGTCTGCAAAACATAAACTGCACACAAATATTAATTTCACACTCTGAATATATACTGGTATATATTTACATATTTATGTATTTTTGGAACGAGACGTAAGGGGAAACCCATGATGACGTCATAGCCAAGGTGAACTCCCTGGGTTTCACTTCAACGCATGTTATATATGCAGTAATCTTGTGCACACCTAAAAATCTCACAACTCGTCAACAAGATGAGTTCACAACAGGCTTGTAGTAAGCTTGTTAATAAGTTGTAACAATGCTGTTATTTAATTCAAGTTGCTACAAGGTTGTCACTCACAACTTGTTAACAAGTTGTTGAATTGCAGGACGAATAACAAACTTGTAACAAGTCTGTTGAGCTCAACAACATTGTAGCAAGTTGTCAACAAGCCGTTGACAACTTGTCAACAAGCTGGGAACAAGCAGTGCGAACACATCCCGATGACAAGTTGTTGGAACAGCATTGTTACGTGTTTAGGGAATTTTACGTGTATATACGCAGTCCGCCTCGTATAACAAACTATTGCCAAGAAGACTAGTGAGTCACCATCTACAAAAACAAGTTGTAATAATGCTCAACAACTCATCATAAGTTAACTTATGGTAGTAATTGACGGTGCGTGCCAACGTGAACATAAGACTATCCCAAGTCGTTATTAATCATTACTGGAAATATTACAATCGATATTACAGTAATACAATTCTGAGCGTCAGGATAAATTGCAGTTGAATCGTAGCATGTAGCCGCGACTGGAAAGCATTAGACTATTCAATCAAGATTTGTATTTACTTAGTCACTTAGTTTTTATGCTAGCATGCTTTGTCTTCTGTGCAAAGCAAGATAAAGAAAGGCGCACTTATTAACGGATTATATTTTCTAATTTAATTAAAGCCAGTCAATCATGCTGAAACTAAGTAAATGTTTTTTCATCGACTTTTGCATATTCAAATGATGATACTTTCATGTGATGATACTTTCATGTTCTCATTCTTCCACTCAGTTCAACTGCAATTATCCCTAGTTCAACTACAATTACCCCTGGTTCAACTGTAATTATCCCTAGTTCAAATACAATTTATCCCCAGTTCAACTGCAATTGTCCCTAGTTCAACTACAATGTACCCCTACTTCAACTGCAATTTACTCCTATGAAATTCTTGGTAAAACAACATTTATCCGTCTTTTCCCCTTGTTTGTACATTCCAATACTTTCACCTCGCTGGATGATCCACGTTGATTAAGGACGGGCAACCTTGCTTTATCTTCGAAACTGTCTAAACTTTCCATCCTCTCTCCTGGTAGTACATGGAGTAGGGACAATCGTTCCTTGTTTTCAAATCCCTTCAAGTTCTCCCTTCTCTCTCCTGGTAGCGGATGCAATACGGGCATGAAACAATCCTTGTTTTCAAAACTATCTTCTTTCTTTCTTGGTAGTCCCTGGATAACGGGCGAACAATCCTTGTCCTCAAATCTCTCGAAATTCCCCGTTCTCCCTCTTGGCAGCTTTCTATACATCCCTGCTTGTTCTGTAACCAGAAGCGGACGGTTTAAAGACAATTGTGGAAAAAACAATCTATTATTTTGAAATACTCCACCATTATGAAAAATATCAGGTGATGTTTTAATTCCTTTCCCGGCGACATTTAAAGTTTGAAATTCGTTTACTTTCGGATCAATCCAGTTAAAACCATGATAATCATTGACAAGAAGGTCCATGCCTAACGTTCGCTGTCTTCGTCTCTTTTGCGTGACAATCTTCTTCTTTTTACACTCAGAGCAGTTTCGGTTACTATGCAGAGAGCAGAAAGCTTTACGTGGTCGTCTGTATTCAGGCCGGTTCAATAAACTTGTTTTACGATGCACGGCGAAAGATCGCGGGTCAGAAATGTCCATAGCTTCTGCTCGCTTTAGTTCAAAATAATCTCGACGAAACTGCGACATAGTTGTAAATATCGATAAAAAACTTCAGCCACAACACGCTTAAACGTTCATGCCTCTTGCCGTAACGTTCATATTTCCATTTTCTGAGAGCAAACAATAATACTAGACAAACTCCAGTGTTTGTGAAAAGGTCACAAGCCAAACTAGTGAATATTTCTCAATTCCTTGCGAATTATATAAGCTATAGGGAAGCCTTGTATCATAAACTACTCTGTACACTTCAGATACGTTGTTATGATATATCGCGTAGTAATTTCATGAATAATGAATTCGTATATCCAATATGTTATGTCAAAAAGCCACAATTTATTGCGGTTTGAAGGACAGATGTTTACATATGATCGACCTGCAAGCTAACATAATAGGTTTAATGTTAACAGTAACTGGATATGAAGACACGAATCATATTCAAGACTGGACGGAAGTGCTAACAGAAATGGGAAGGTCCATTGCAACTTTTTATAAAAAAAAATAACAGGCTATGATTCTGATGAGATTATTCTCAATGTCAACCTATTCAAATTAATAAAGTTACTACATTACATGTGGACCTATCATTTAGGTTATCTGTTCTGTACAAACTGTTCAAATGTACTTAGGATTTTCTGACCATTGTTTGAGGTTACGCCTTATCTAAGCACTACAAATAAAAGCATAAAAACCCTACTGTATCTATCATATTGTAACCAGAAGTAAAATAAATAATGCTACAATTTATGGCAGGAAAAGGATATGGTACAAAAAGAGATCACCGCCTCAATAATACATGCGTTGTCAGCCATTGAGATAATGTTCCACGACGTTTTTTGTTTTTATGACGCTGCAGCTGTTGGCTCTAATTCTACAGCAGGCGTGTCTATTTCTTCATCATTGTAAACATTTTCAGCCTATGAAATGCAAAGAAAACTTAGAACTTTAATATCATCACTTTTTTTGCGTTGTGCAGGTTTCAATATTTAAGCCCCCCCCCCCCCGACGATTCACGATAGTTTCCTGCGCAGGCAACATCTTACAACCTACAGAGGAGACTGGATTTACGGTATGTCTGACTAAATTCTCAGTCAACGAGGATGAGAGTCGATGAGGATTCCAACTCGCGTTCATCAACTTTGAGCAGGTTAAATTTTGATGAGAGTTTTCGCTACGCGCGCGGTAACAGTGAGCTTAAAGACTGGGTCAAGGGCTGTGATTGGTGAGAAACGTCAACTTTACTTCCGGTCGAAGTGCGTGTTGCCCAAAACGTCACTTGCTTAAGCTCACTAATGTCCAATCAACTCGCACGCAACTCTTGTTCTTGTTTGACCGTGGCATGAGAGTTGAGAAAACGTTCATGCAAACTCTCGCTTCTCAACTCTCACAAACTCTCATGCAAACTTTCACTTCTTAACTCTCATACAAACTTTCGTTTCTCAAGTCTCATCAAATTAGGAGAGGCGAAGCAAAATTTTGGTGAGGTTGAACACTTTATATGAGGGGCTAGAGAGATTCTAGAGGGTTTAACCCCCAGTAAATCCGCCCATGGTCGTAAGACAGTAAGAATCGCTTACCATCTGCCAGACTTGCATGATATTATCTTCAGATACACTGCATACTACCCATGGTTCATTGGGGTTCCAAGAGAAGTCTGAAATCTTTGCAGTATGACCAGCATGAATAAACTAGAAGGAAATAAAAGTATTTATTTCTAACCTGAATTCCAAATGAAACGCAACAAAACATAAAGTATCTTACCAGGAGTTCAGGTGGACCATCCTCTGAATCTTCAGGCGATTGCTCTTCACCAATTTTACTGTTGGGACAGTGAATTAATTTTATTTTTAAATTTTACAACCAGAAGGGAAATAGATTATCTAAGCCTGACTAAACCTTAAATGGGGCTGAAATTGTATTCAGGGGTTCTACCGTTTAATGAAGGTGGAATTCAAAGTTTTACAGGATTTTCATGGATGTTTTTCCAGTACAATCAAGGACCTTAAAACTGGGAAAAATCTCTGAACATGGCACAGAGTTTGCTTTTGGAAACACTACTATTTATTCAAAATCAAAAGTCTAAATAATGTTCAAGTATTATCAGCCCAGCTGGAAAGAGGTTCCAGGACTTCAAGGACTTTCCAGGATTTCGAAGCTTGGAATTCTCAGAATTGTTGACTCCCACATATATATATATATGTAAGGCTTGAGTTCACCCAATTACCTCAAATCCCAGACATGCAGTCTTCTATCTGTGCCACTGGAAGCTAGAATGGTCTCATTATGTGGGGACCATTGAACCTATAACCAAATTTGAATATACATTGATGATGCGACTGTCAATTTTACAACCAGAATAAATACCAAGACATTCACAGAACAATGATTGACTTATACCTGAAAGATTTCATCTTTGTGCGACTCAAATGAATGAAGTTTCAACCTAAGGTTTCTCAGATCCCATAATGCCACAGTCTTAAAATAAATTACGAGATGTTAAACAGGGCAGGGCATGAAATAAGGTTCCCAAAGTTCCTGGTCATGGTGATCAGCAGTAATGACTTTTCCTGCTTTTTCTGATTGGGAATCCGGCTTTTTCTCTGATCATAAACAATTTCTTGCTGATAAGTGATCGGATGTTATCTCAAACCTGAAGTGCACAGGTCATCTGTGAGATCTAAGTACTCTGTTTCACATTACCTTGTCTGCAGAACCAGTGGCTAGAATATATTCACTGTATGGATTAAATGACAAACAGTTCACCTATTGAAAAATTACATTAAGATGAGAGTGGTTTTTATTTGATCATAAGTTCGAATGTTAATATATATAATAATTATATAAAATAATTTACAAGCTTTTTTCATAAAGACTAAAGTACTAGAACTCCGTTTTCAAATTCCAAAACTCCGTTTTCAAATGCCAAAACTCCGTTTTCAAATGCCAAAACTCCCTTTTCAAATGCCAAAACTCCCTTTTCAAATGCCAAAACTCCCGTTTTCAAATGCCAAAACTCCGTTTTCAAATGCCAAAATTCCCTTTTCAAATACCAAAACTCCGTTTTCAAATTCCAAAACTCCGTTTTCAAATGCCAGAGCTCCCTTTTCAAATGCCAAAACTCCGTTTTCAAATGCCAAAACTCCGTTTTCAAATGCCAAAATTCCCTTTTCAAATGCCAAAACTCCGTTTTCAAATGCGAGAGCTCCCTTTTCAAATGCCAAAACTCCGTTTCCAAATGCCAAAACTCCGTTTTGAAATACCAAAACTCCGTTTTCAAATGCCAGAACTCCCTTTTCAAATGCCAAAAGTCCCTTTTCAAATGCTAGAACTACCTTATGTGCACATTATAGAAATCAGCACCTACCTCTGCAGTGTGGGCATCAACTGAATGTGTTGGTTTGCTGCTACTTGAGGACCTTGTATCCCAACTAAGTAAGGTAAGACATCATAGTTACGAGACCTACATAATTTGTTCCTAATTTCCAACAAAGCTCATTCACTTACACCATTAGTTTGTGGTCATCAGCAACTGATCCAAAAAGTGCTTCATGCAATAAATGCCAAGAAACATCCTAAATAGATTCAAATATTGTCTTAAGATCTTGAATTTTGTGTTTCTGGTGTTATGCAATCAAGTCAGGCAAACTTTTCAGCTTGCCCGGTGTGGACCCAATCACAGACAACATCACAAAAATTTGTCTTAAGATGTTAGAACAAGCGGCACAAGTTTTTTCAGATGGTGCTTTGATTAAGCACTGTATTGTTGTGAATAACTGCGGCACTTATTCAAGAGGGCACTCTTTAATAATTTGTCTCTCATATGCAGCAATTTATCTGGGGTTGCGCGCTCGGTCTTAGGCGGCGCTTAAACAGGTAAATACGGCAAGCATCACTTCATTAAGATACTTATTCCCAAAGCATAATGTATTGACATTAACTACCTCGACAACAGCTGTATGTCCTGTGAATATTCTTAGAGCATCTAGTGTTTTTGTTTCCTGAAAAGACAATTATAAATTTAATTGTGGTAACATAGAGTTTAATTTGTAATAAACAAGTAAGTTATTCAAGTCAATACTGGTAAACATTTTACCTTTGTTAAACCGGATATATTCCACAAACATATTGTCTAAAAAATATTGGTTCAAAATGATCAGTTTTACTGGCTTGAAACAAAATTAATGCATGAACAGTACAATATTTGAATTATGAAATATTTACATGATCATCTGAGGCACTCAAAAGATGTCCATGCGCATTGGTATTCCATGATAGACCATATCTACAAATTGTTTCACAATATTTGTTAGTTTTATGAGCAACAGAATTGACAGATAGTTATAGGCAGATAATGGAATAAAATTCTCACCCTTCTTTCTGATGGCCTTTTAACCTTAGGTCAGGATTGCAGCCTCCATTTGGATCTGAAAAAAAAAACAATTACCATAATAAATGCATGCATAGAGTGGTTTACCAGGACTTTTGCACAAGAAATGTACCAAGATTGTTGCAACAAAACTACTCACCAGGTTTCGAAGGATGTTTTGTGTAATCAAAGACTAATACATCTGATGAGGGAGTTTTGGTTGCAATGATGCAGGGATTTTGAGGCATGTATCTTGCTCTACAACACAAGAGAGAGATTAACATTTCTATAGCACAAATTTACATTACACAGCTAAGCTTTGACAGACTCGCTTGACACCAGTCCATAGTAGGGGTGCACCGAAACTCGGTTCCGGCCGGAACCCCGATTTTTTAGAGTTCCGGTTCCGGCCGGAACTAGTAAAAAAAGCATGGCCGGAACCGGAACTCTGTTGTTTTCAGAGAAATAGAATATCAAACGTTTTTGTGTCTAACAAAAGGTCACAGTAGGAAGAAATTTGGACTACGCAAGGGAAATGTACACTACTAACACTTCATTATGACGTTTAACGCTTGTCAATCTTTTTATTCTAACATTTGCGAGCTCTCTCCTTTATGACTTGAAGTGTCTGCCTGTCTGGCAGCGGACAAAGTAACATATGACT